TTGTTGTTGTTGTTGTTGTTGTTGTTGTTGTTGTTGTTGTTGTTGTTGTTGTTGTTGTTGTTGTTGTTGTTGTTGTTGTTGTTGTTGTTGTGGTTGTCTTGTTGTTTTGGTCGTTGTGGTTGTTGTTGTGGTTGGTGGTGGGTGTGGCTTTGTTGTTGCTTTTGCTATTGCGGGTACTGCTATTGTTGTTAATGTTCCGTCATTATTACTGTTAACATCACTGTTATTGTTGTTATGGTTATTACTTGCAAAATCATTAGTTCTACTATCATCAAGGCCAGCTTTGTCACACTTCAATGGCCATGGCCGGTGCAAAGCATTGTTTACCGCACAGCAATCCTGGCTGCACCTCAAGAGCAGCTTTTCGGCCTTGTGTTCCAGAGTTGAGGAAGAATTCCATGTATCTTCCCTCATGTAGATATTTCTGCGGTATTTTGCCTGACGTACCTGCTAGACGGCCAGTCTGCAACAAATTGTCAGGACGACTTCCTGGCTCGTTTTGCTGCGAAGAAGCAGGGAGGTCGTGGTGGCCAGGACCTTGGACCGATTTTGCAGTGGCACTGCGGCACATGCACTTCACAAGACAAGTGGATGCTCCTCACACTGCCTTTGCTGTGGATGTGGACATATTCCACGTGCATGCCTTCTTCGAGGCTACCCTCAGGCCGCCACGAAGACCGACCAGGCGGCTTGCTGCATAGCTGAGCCTTGGAACCCTGCATTCTTCTGTGCAGTAGTTGCCGTAGCCACAGGCATCAGAAAGTGAAGACGAGGAGCAAGAAGATATTCGGGGAAGAAGGCGTTGTGCGGGTTTCCTCAACATGATGCCACAGCCTCACCCGTATGACGATCTTGCAAAAGAGTAGAAAGCCACAGGGCGCAAAAGAAAGAGCAGCAAATGGCGGCAGCACTGCAGAGGCAGCAGGCAGGCTTATCTACGGGTTGTTGTTTGAGAAAAGGAGTCGTTTCTCAATCGGGCTCCACATCCGTATCCACAGCTGTTCACGTAGGGGTGACAGCCAGGATCAACACGCAAGCTGTACAAACACAGTTCTGCGAACGGTGTTGGGGAAGAATTTGGTGTCTTGGAACATGGTTCACTTCTAACTGTGTGCACCTTTGGGAAGGTTTTTGGAAGGTCTGGATGGCATCTCGAAGTTCGCGGCCACTTTAAATAGAGAGTCTACTTGGGATTGCTTATTGCTTATTTAGTGATGCGATTCGAGAGGTAGATGTCGGTGGGCGTGTGTGGCTTGTCATTGCACTCGTTTCTGCAAGAATTTGTACTTCAGAAAGCTTTCGAAGCAGGTGCTTTGCGTTTCAGATCAGTTTCGGAGAGCTTATGGACGTTTGGAAAGTCTCATGCAGTTTAGAGAAGTTCGGGTAGCTTCAGCTCGCCCAGGTAGTTTCAGGAAGGATCTCGCGCAGCCATAATATCCCCATAATTACTGCTCATATCTCCTGGACATCTAAACGAGCTAAGATGACCTTGCCGGTCCCAGGAAAAAGATTCCGATCAAGTCAGACCCTTAACTTCGTTGCTGCAAGATTGCAGGTGGCACGTTATCGCAGGTTTAGCAGAAGCGGAGCACACAGGACATCTGCCAAATGAATTGCTTGACCGCAGCGTTTCCTCATAACTGGGGCTCAATGTCAGCCTTGCAGAGTGAGGGAGGTCTCTGTGGCCATGCCAATAGCGGACATAGATTACCGGGAGTATTTCACCAGCGAGAAGATCGCCGACTTGAAGGAGTCCTTTGACAGCTTCGACTCTTCTGGAGATGGAAGGATTGGGGCCGACGAGCTCTATGGCATGTTTAAGAAGCTGGGCACCAATTTGACAAGATCCCAGATTCGCGAGGTTATGCGCGAGGTGGACGCAGATGGGAGCGGCGAAATCGAGTTCGAAGAATTATGTATTTTAGAGATCAAAATGGCGCGCTCGCGTCCGCGCCCAGACCTCATCGATTATCAGGACTATCTCGACTGCAAAACCATCCAGAAACTGGAAGAGGCCTTCGACAGGCTCGACGCCGACTCGCGCGGCTATGTTTCTGTTTTTGAGATGAAAGGATTGCTGGAGGCACAGGGTTGCAAGTCAGGCGAGGATGAAATCGACGAGATTCTCGGAGAGCTAAATAGTCAGGGAGAGCTGGACTTCGCTGGCTTTGCGGCAGCGTGGGCAATCGCAAACCAAAGTCGGAAACGTATCAATTATCGTGAGTTCTTGGACAAAGATGAAGTGGAAGAGTTGAAAGAACTCTTTGAGGAGGGCACGATGGGTCAGGGAAATTTGGCAATCACCGAGCTGGACCACATCTTCCGCAAGTTTGGCTACCCCATGAAGACGAAGCAACTTCGGGGGCTTCTAAAGGACTTCGACACCGACTCCTCGGGGGAGATAGACTTTGAGGAGTTTTGTGTCATGATGCTTCGGCTCAAGTGCGCGAAGCAGGTCCGACACATCAGCCCGGAGACGCACGACTGCCGCAATCTCTGGTTAGACGAGGGCTTCACGGCCAAGGAACTGCAAAAGTCCGGCTATGGTATCGCGCACATGAAGGCTGCCGGTATCTCTGTCCGTCAGATCCTAGCCGAGGCGGAGGTCACGGCGCTGGAGATGCGCCGCTGCGGCTTCACAGCTCAAGAGCTACGCAAGGCAGGGATGGGGGCCAGCGAGTTGAGGGCCGCAGGCTTCTCGTTGGCGGAGCTGCGTTTGGCTGGCTTCTCACATGCTGTGCTGCAGACAGCCAACAAAACCCTGCGCTCCTATCTTTCCAAAGGGAACCTCACCGTGCTGCCGCAGCAGAATCCGAAGTTCGACCCCAAGAGGAAGAAGCACACTCCCTTCATGAAGCTCTGGTTGACACCAAAGACATCAGATGATCCTAAACCTGTCACTCCTCGCATCCGTGAGCACACCGACTACCGGCCCAAGTCAAAGTCATCACGGCCCGCGACGACAGGTTCAGCAGAGCTCGGAAGATATGAGACTACTTCCCGAAATCCTAGCAGGATGGGAAGTTACTCAAGCTATCGAGCTAGCCGTATGGTGTCGGAAGCCCGGCGGCCCTTTACAGCAGCTTGAGCAAGTAGGTCGGTAGGTCGGTCGGAGGTTTATGTATAATTAAAGCTGGCAAGAGGCTTTGCAAAGCAATCGTCTCCAGCTGGCTGCTTGTATTTCCGTTTCGCATCAGAAAGTCTCACCGTTTCACAGACTCGAGCAGATCGCAAAGTGTTTCAACTGCAAAAGCATTGTCAGTGGCGTATCTCCAAGCACCTGACTTCAATCCGGGAAGCTTATCATTGGTAAATCCTTGTGACAACACAGAAGAAGATCCAATGATCCAGCCGTAACTGTGTTAACATGCTCTTGTGCAATCTTCGATGTGATGCTTTTGGGACCTTTCGGGGCCGCACGCCTGTGCTACATCGGACAGCCCATGGTAATCACAGGCCCCAACCACTCAGCACTTGCAACAGGTGTCCAGGCATCCTATGCTGAGTGCTAGAGGGTTCCTTTGTATAATTATAGTATACTGGGCCCCAAAACCTTATTCTAGTTAGGCTTTTCTAGTCCAACCTGCGGGGTTGCCGAGGCCGGAGGTAAGCCGAGAAAGAAGGAGGCACTGCCACTCGCATGCGACCGGGAGCAAAGGGATCAGTCAGCAGTTGACCGCAGGGTTGGGCATATGTGAAGGTATGCACCCAGATCACCCAAATGTGAGTGCAATGCAGAAGAAGACTCCGCGGCACATGACGACGTAGTAAACTTCTAACTACTACTACCCGGCCTTGGCTTTAGATTTCAGGTCTTCTCGCCAATTTAAATCGGCAGCGAGGCTGCAAACACACGCTCATCCCCGAGCTGACTGCTTTCTGGTGCAGGGCGTGGAGCCCGCTGCGAAAGACGGCCCGATTCCCGAGGTGGGATAGGGTCGTACTCAGTGACACCCTGGGAAACGGAAAGCGACACTTAAATGCAACGCAAGCCGTGCAGTCAAAAGCAATGAATGGATAGTAATATAGTACATGACTAGTTAAGTTTTCCGTATTTTGCTGCTACTACTACTACTACTACTACTACTACTACTACTACTACTACTACTACTACTACTACTACTACTACTACTACTACTACTTTTATTATCCGTCATTTCCTGAGACGTGTGCACCAGGGCAACATGTGCGGCGTCTGTGGGGAGGCAAGGCTCTGCATGGACTTGGGGCGTGGGGCGGATACATATTTATGGGTAGTTGCCAAAATTATGGTCCTTTGTTGGGTACCCTAAATATTAGGTGCCGTATTATATCAGGGACCCAAAACGGGACCGTAATTTTGACAACCACCCATATGTGAGGTCTGGAAGATGCGCAGAGTGGCCGGTCTGTTGCAGAAGCTTTCACGAAGCATCACTTTGGTTGCAGGACTTCTCCAGCCGGTCAGCAATGTTCAAGCACATTAAGGCACCGGAGCTGTGCCGTCACCTAGAGTTTGTTTCCTCCATGGTTTCTCCATGAGGCCCACCCGTCCATCCTAGATTCCTTCGAAGCTGGTGTTCGGACACTTCCAAAAGAGCCGAGGCAACAGGCCACGCCATGCTCAAGCCTGCTGTGGCAGAAGAGCCAACCAAGGGCAAGAAGAAAAAGAGGCAGACGCGTCAGTGCCGGAGTGCTGGTGTGACCTGTCCTTCGAGCAAACTTGTGCGCGCGGCATACAGGTAGCCCCGGCTGGCCGGCACGCAGCACCCGGTGCTGATGTGGCAAAACCGGGCCCTGCGCATCTTCAACTCGGCCACTGCCAGTTGCTGGAAGCTCTGTTGCGCAACAGTAGCCCCGGCTCGTGCCGTAGAGCGGCTCGCTGGCTCGCAGCTCCATGCCAGGCACATGAATGCAGAGTTACTATAGCATGTGGTAACGACATGGTATCTACGGCAGACTTCACTGTGTGCAAAGCCGCATGCCGCTGCTCCCGGCACATGTTTCCCACCTAGCTCACCATGGAGCTTGATCTGCGCTGACCTTACTTGGAGGATCATGGGACGTAGTGAGTAAGGTTATAAGTATCTTAATTGGGGTTATAAGTATAGTTGCCCTAAATATAACCCTACCATGATCCTTTCAGTACTGGACTGCAGCCTGACATGATGCGGATTTTTTTTGCGTCAAAATCGCAGGTTCGCAGAGGTCCTCTGCGATGCGGCAGCCAGCTCAGTTCGGAAGCGACCGATGCTCTCTAGCTCCGAAAATGCTTGAGCTTGAGACTCAGGCCGCAGTGCATTCGCAAAACAGCTTTTTGGCTAGCACGCGCAAGAGATGCCCAAAACGAAAGAGAGCTCCAAAGCAACATCGTGCAAACCTCCCGCCCTCTGTGGCCATGCCAGGACCCTGCACTGCTGCTGGGAGGTGCAGCAGGCTTACAAGCACCTCCCCTGCCTTTGGGCATTAACGGTAAAAGCCCGGGTGACTCCGCAGGCGCCGGGGGGGCGCACGACTTCGGCCGCGCTGGTCGAGCAGTGGCCTGGCTGGCCGATGTTGGTTCGATGCTTAGCAGAGGCCAGCCATGCACCATGCTTCTCAATGCTTCTCCCTACCTTGCCGCCGGCTGCCGAGGTTCTGCAATCTTCCAGACAGGCTCGAAGAAGCGACAAGGCCCCGATAGCGCTGCGTCATGAAGCGGACATCGAAGTTCGAGTCATCCGTCCACGAGATTGTGTGAACATTCACTCTTGGGCCGCCCCGATAGACCCTAGGCCCTAGGCGCGGCGCAGATGGGTTGAACCGTCACTAACACCACAGGCCCTGCCGGCGCTGGCACGGAGCCTTCAGATCGACTTGCGCAGCTTCAACCAGCCCCTTCCTTGTCGCCGATTGTGGTGCAGAGGGGAAGAGTCCGCATGTTTGGGGTCTGAGCTTTGGCTCTGAGGCCTTGAAGCTGGTGGCGGACTTGTTGGAGGCCTCGACCCGCAGGGTCCTATGATGTGAATCGCAACATACGCTTGAATCCTTGGACTCTGCAGCAGGATCTTCGAGTGAGCTCGGGCGTGCTAGACAAAAGTCAGTCATGCACGCATCTTGAGAGATAAGGATCACGATGCCGCAACGCAAACACAATCACAAGAACATGAGGAGAACAAGTTGCTGGTGGCCATGAAGATGAGGAGAAGGTAGAGGAGGAGGAGGAGGAGGAGGAGGAGGAGGAGGAGGAGGATTGTGGATGCCGGCACTGCCTGTTAGCTGGCGACAAATGCTATCTCGGAGGTACTAGAGCAACAAACCGGGCCACGGTAGCGGTGTAGTAGTGATAGTGGTGATGGGTTGCTGGCTGGATTAGCTTCTCAAAATGCAAGATCTTCAGCTTGCTCAGGCAAAGCTGCCGCTGGTTGGTGTCTTTAGTTGCTTCGGGATCAGATAGCTCGGGCAGAGGAATCTGCGACATGAACTTAGGGAACTTCGCTTCAAAACAACTTTACATAATACCCATGAAGACAACCATTGTTGTTTTGGGAGCTCCCAAGTCAATATGCATGACAACGACCATGACTATAATGAATATGAAGTCTACGACTCTCTGTGCTAAGTGAGCATTCGACTTCGTCGTGATGTGCACGTTGGGCGCCGGGGAGGCTTCGCCGGAAAGCAAAGGCTCCACTCTGGTGGCCGCGGCATTGGACGCCCTCCGAGAAGGTGAGCTCCGAGTGCTCGAGCTACTTGCATTCCGAGAGAACTCACTATGTGGCCATTGTGAACCACACAAGCAAGATGCGACGAGTCTGCACAGGAGCTCAACTGAGCCAGCTGCTTTCCGGTGGATCGACGTCTTCAAGTTCACCTGCTCCAACGCAGCACTGGCAAACGTTTGGTTGCCCGAGACTGTCCTCACGATCCTAAGCCGGTGACGGGTCTAGAAGCGTTAGCATCTTGGATTATCAGAGTCATGGCAGGGCGACGCCGGAGGATGCAGCAGGCTGGTTGGGCATGCCAGTTCATGTGGTGATGTGCCCTGCGACGGCACGCAGTGCACTGCAAAGCTGTGGGGGCAACTGCACGTCAGGTGAAAGAATCTAAGCCTTTTGATGCGAAAACACTGGGAGGCCACGAGGCTATAGCCATGGGTGCTGCGGGTGCAGTGGCCAAAGCAGTCAGAATCAAAGCGTCCTCAACTCAAGTACCCCTAGTACCGCTTTGATCGAAGCACCGCCGCAGCGCTGAGCCTTTGAGGCCAGGGTGCCTTTGCATTGTCCCGGCACCCTTTGGCCTGGCCTGGAACCTGGAATGCCTGAGATGCTGCGGGCATCCGACTGTACTCCTTTGAAGCCCGTTGAAACACGGTGGTTCTGAGAGGCTCAAGGCGTTGAGGTGCTAGAGGTAAGCAGTTGAGAGTTTAAGCGTGACTTGAGACTGTCGTTTCAGTGCTGGACACAGTAGGGAGGAATTTGAGCGACTCAACCTGGAGGTCATTCTGCGGCGCTGCAGCGCTGGGTCGTCGGTCGAGCCTCAAAGTTTCGGGTTTAGGGCAGTGCTTCGTTGCAGTTCGTACCATTGGCTTTGCCCTGCCAAGCTCCGGTCCAACTGCAGCCCAGGCCGGGTCCGAGTACTTCATGGCAGGCACAGAGCGTTCCATCACAGATTTCTGTCTTTTCACTGACTGCTCGACTCTTTCACCCGCTCGCCATAGATGCCTCAACGCAGTGCGCGTTTGCGTGCGGGGGGTAGGGGGGCAGTGATGCTGCCTCCTTTGGCTGTGTGGAAGAAGAGACAGAGAGCCCTAGCGAGAGAGAACGTCTCACAAGCAGACCGAACGTGGACACTCAGCGTAGCGCTGGAGCGCAGGGTTGGAGGGGTCTCACCCCTTCACCCCACACGCTGTGCAAGCAAGCAAGCAAGCAAGAGAGAAACACAGTGCAAAGACCGCACCGCTTGCATGGGACAACTGAGAGGTAGCGGTCTCTCGTACCCCACTGCCTGGAGAAGACGGGGGGGTGGACGACCAGTGTCCCTATGCTTCGGGAGGCGATCGGAAGACGAACGAACATCGCAACGAGGTTTGTTTTGCACCTTCGATGCAGGAGCAAGAACAGAGAGAGAGAGAGAGAGAGAGAGAGAGCAAGACAACCAGGGCGGGTTGGCTCTGCTTGACCGGCAATGTCGTAATGGGAGACGGGCGGCTGTTCAGTCCCAGCACCGCTGCTTGCAATGAAGCCATGATAGCGACTGATAGCGAAAGGGCACTCGGCATGCAGTGTCAAAGCCTTAAACACGCATGCGGAAGGGAGGAAGCCGAACTGTCAGGTGTTGCTTCCTTCAGCCCCGGCCTTCGCTTCCACCCGGCACGGCCGCGAGAGGCAGGAGGGCGACACCACGCTTCGCCGCTTCGTGACCGAGAGGATTTGCAGTCGCAGCGCTGTATCGGGGAGGATGGTGACATGGAGCGCATGCAGCCGCTGGTGCGCGGGGCCCAAGATTCCGGTAAAAGATATCTGCGAAGCAAGCGTCAGGGAATCTGATCTTCTAACCGCCCGAGCTTTTCGAAGTAGAAAGCAACTCCAACAGATGAGATACTGGCACTTGAGGGTTATGGCTTGCCACGTTGAGGGTCAGTAAGCAGGATGAGAGTGAGGTCGCAACTTCCTTCAACTTCAAGTGGTTGTAGCTCGGAACTTCGAGCGTCGGAGCTTCGCGCGCCCTGTGCAATGGCTCGCCAGTCCGACTGCCGAGTTCACTCAATTCGGCACGCCGCCACGCTTCCGGCAAGCGATGTCGCCCTTCGACTGTTGGAGCGGGTCCAGCGCAACGCAGAAGCCGTACTGCGGGCCCGTGGTTGGCGCGTCCTGGAGCTGGTGGAGCTGTGCTGCTGCAAGGTTGCACCTGAGCAGAAGCCTGGCAGCGTGGCAGGCTGGTGCATGCCTGCTGGGGATGCAAAGACTGCGACTCGCATAGCTTTGCGACTCAGGGCACCAAAGGGTCAAGGGCACGGAATACTGCCTTTCGAGGAGGTGTTCGGAACGATGCTCCATGAGCTTGCTCACATCATTCACTTGAAGCACACTGCTGCGTTTTATGAATTGATGGATGACTTAAGCAGGCAATGGGAGCAGTTACAAGCTACTGGGCACGTCTTGGACGAGTCAGGCTTTCCAACAGTGGGCGGACACCGAGTCGATCCAATGAAGCATAATCCCAGCCCTGGACTCGCCACGAAACTCCAAGCAAAGGCGGCGGAGCAGCGGCTCAAGGTGAATCAGCTCATGGGCTCAGGCAAGCTCGGTGGTCAGAGTGACTGGAAGCAGCTTCCCTTACGAGAGAAGGCGGCCCGGGCCGCGGAGCGACGCGCGGCCGAGGCGAAGTGGGGTTTTGGGCCGGAAGAGCTGCCAGACGAGGCAAGCGTCTCCAGTGCCCCACCGGCGAGCGCCCCCAAGCGCAGGTGGTGCCAAAGACTAGGCTGCTCCTGCCCAGCCCCGCACCCTGATCTGCCTGTGAAATCCGAACTTGAAGACAAACTCCTTCAGGAGGCCATCTTGGCCTCCCTTGCCGAGTCTCAGAGCCTACAGAGCCTCCAGAGCCCCAGCATAGGCTGCATTGTTCTCAGCGACGATGAAGGAGCCGCTGAGTCCAACGCTCGCTCAGAGTCCGCACAAGAAAAGGGCATCTTCAGCTGGGTTGCTTGGGCATGCTGCTTTCCGATCGTTTCTTTCTTTTAAGGCTGGGACAAGTTCCCCGCGAGAGGGTCACTCTGGGCACCTTTTGGCATCTGGCCTGCCAGCCTCCAAAGCGTCATGTGCTGAGTCCAAAGAAGGAACTCCCGCCGAAAACATAGCACCTGAAAGCTAGCTCTTGTTGAGGCATGGACGCCGACGAATTGCGGCCCATCTGCAAAGGGGCTTTGACCTAAAAGTCTAGAGCTCTTCACGCAGCTCTCAGTCTCAGGCATCCCTACGCATCCCTGCTGCCCTTTCTGACTGGTGTGCCGGCTGCCGGGGCCTCGGGCCTTCTGTGAGCACAGACCTCTTTCGAAGATCTTGCGAGGATGCCAGCCCGGTGCAATCGCCCGAGACGGCTCGGTGATGCCCTCGTCCACCCGAATGCAACCAACTGTAGTTGTGTCGTAGCTAGTTTGCTGATTTTGTGGGCTGCGAAGGTTAACACATTGGCGCCCCATGAGCACAGGAAATTCGGGCAGAGGGGAGGCCCTCCAGGCAGCTTGCGCTGCATTACACTGCGAGTGGTTGCACCTGCTTTTTCAAGCAGATGGACATTACAGCATAAATCTAGAAGTGCCGCAGGTGGTTCTGGACGGGCTGGAGTTTGCCCTGCGCTTGATGGGGGCAGATGCTCCACACGCTGCCCGACTTGCCAGGGTTGAGCTGGAGGCTTACCTACGTGCAAAGAGCTGCGCTACCGAAACACAGAATCCTCATTCCACACCAGAAGCACAGCCAATCTGATGCTGGTCTCACCAGCCATGGCACAGCGGCATAGCAAAGCCTTTGGAACCTTGCATCCTGCTTGTGCTGCCAAGACCTCGGGTGGCCCTATCACGACGGCTTTGCCTGCAGCCCGAGATGCCTGTGGATGGTGTTGCTGCCGCCTGCTGGGCGTGCCAGCTCTATCCTTGCTGTACATGATGTCACTTCAGGAATAAACAGGGACTTCCATATCAATATCCATAAGTCCATAAGCAGTCATGACGACGTACCGGTGCTGGCCAATAGCGAGGCAGCGGTGCCTCGGCCTCCCAGCGCCTAGTGCAGGTGGGCAGACGGTTACAGTTTGTGAAGCTCAGTGAGATTCCCTGGCCCATTTCTTATGCTGCAGAACCGCACAGGAACTGGCAATTCCATCCTGTTCCCGGCATGCCGCCGATGTTTGTCAACTGGAGGCACCGACAAAGACTACATCACATGCTGTAACACCAGGTGGCACCCCACAGAGAAATCTTGCGCAGCGGAACTGCACTAGATGCTCCTATGTTACCCTGGGTTGTTTGTGCTCGCTTGTTCCTTTGGAGGGCGACTTGGAAGACCCGAGACGCTCGCCTGCCATGGACTTGAAGACGTCCATCAACAACTTGGAGGAGTCATTGAAGGCGCCGCACGGTCGTCATGCCTTGCAGTTTGAGCTTCAGAGGCCAGGAACGAAAGCAGTGGCGTAGTGTCTTTTCGAAGTTCCACAGTTTGGCCAGTCCAGGCTGCCAGCCGCGATGTCAAAACGACTGCGCCATCAGCCTTCCCTTCGCTTTCGCAGGACGGAGAGGGATTTGCACATGATGCTGCAGTGCATACTGTACCGGCGAGAACACCTCTCCTAGCTACAACTCTCCACATCACCACGGGCCATAGGGCACATGACCTCCAGTGTGCAGTACACAAGGGCAAATCTAGAAGTAAGTTGGCAGCTACAGCTGACTCTACGAGAACATGGCTTACTGTGATTACTATATACAGATTCTGTCACAAGGATTTTTCCAGAAGACGTTGGTGCCAAGAACAAGCATCGACACAGCCAACACCAATTGACAATCCCAAGACAGAAACCCCTGGCAGCGGAGAGATTTCAACATCCGTGCACTCACATGGGATATTCGCACGCAGGAGAGAATGTCAGGCATGTTGCTCCGCCAAAGAGAGAGAGAGAGAGAGAGAGAGAGAGAGAGAGACTCGCCAGTCCACAAAGTTCATGGAGTTGCGAATACGGTCTGCAGCTCAGGTCAGTATTCTACTGCTCATCTGGATTGCTTGAAGTGCCCAGTCGTTCGTTTCCAGACAGGCCCGTCGTGGCCGACATACGTCGATGTTTCGGGAAAGTGTCTGTCATGATGCCCTTTTCGTCTGCAAAAACCGTCGGTGGGTGGCACCATGCCTATTCTTTGTTTGTTCTTCCATGGGGGCTTTGGTCTTGCGTCTATGTCGTATGCTATTCTGTCCACCACGCTGATCCACGAGTCTGACTAATGTGCAGCGGCCGAAAAAAAGCTGATCGGGCAACATGGGGCAACATTTGCTGATTGCTGCTTGCCGAGGAGCTGCCATGCCTGAAGAGCCAGGGCTCAATCGTCACGACGCCAGCAGATTCAGAGACGGGGCCTCAGTTTCTCCCCTGCACGCATGGCGCCCGGGCTGTGGTGCACCCAGTGGCCCAAGGTTCCATTTGTTCGGACCCGGATTCACTGCTGATGCCTTTCGCGTGGCCGAAGAGATGGCAGGGCAGCCGTTGCCAGTTGGCCTCCCGGCGGGATACACCAACACGTGAAACATGTTGTGAAAGATGCTCCGATCCGGACGTAGGTGCAAGACCAAGGCCGATCTGCTCTCTCCCCCGGACTTGGCAGAAGTTGGTCCGCATGATGTACAGAATCCTGCCGACCTGGTACAGCTGCCCGACTCTCAGCCTGATCTCGAGCACTCCGCTTCCTATCACACGCTTCGGATGTCAGGCTCGGGAGAGCCTGCTCATCGTGTCTCAAGCTGTCTGGGAGCTCAGCTTCTCAGGTCCGCAGTTCGCATCGCTGTTGTAGTTTCAACTCAGGCTGAATCAACAGCGCTTGCTCACAAGCACGGGCCCAATCGTTGCCCAAGGCTTTCAGCTACTCGACATGCCCAGATTGCTCTCACCGCTGTAAGCAGAAGAATCAATGCGTCACGCTGAGGCGCGCACCATCTCTGTTTTTCCCTAGCGGCACGCGTGCTGCTATCACTGCCGCTGGACCCTTCATGGCGAGCCGAGCCTGTCGCAGGATTTGTAGCTTCGGTAATATGGGCCCGCACAGAAGGTACAAGCGCCCGGACTTCAACTGGACGTTGGAAACGCAGAACTTCATCCTCGAACGTTGCGGCCTTTTGAGTGGAATTTCGCCCACGATAGAAGAAGCTGCGAATGGCAGGGGAGAGGGGGAAACAGGGGAAAAAGTAGTCACTGTAGTCACAGAGTCAGGCCTTCATCTGCTCATCCGCCAATTGGCAATGGCAGCTCTCGCTCTGGGACCAGCTGGCCGACGCCTCAAAACCAGCTTTAGAAAACCCCAGTAGGCCCGGGGCCCCATAGTTCCAAAAGCTTGAGACGCCTAGTAGAGGAGGCCCGCATGAAGGCTCGGGAAAGGTGACAAAGGGCTCCTTTCCAGTGCTGGTTTCCTGACTCCGCGCCGAGGCGACGCGGGACCAAGGGCGGTTGCTGCCATGGCGGCGGCTGTCGCTTTCGACGCGGTCGCGCGACAACCCACGGAGAACGTCGCCTCCCTGCTCTCACAGGCATTTCGATGTTTCAGTCGAAATAGGAGTACATATAAATAAATAGAAATGTATATATATATATATACATATAGATATAGATATAGATATAGATATAGAGAATGGGACCCAAGCCCTGCCATGTAGGACTTCGGAGGGTTCTGTGGACGTCTGTGGATCCCTTGTGCCAGGCCTTGGGCCAGGGACTGTGCCTCGGCTCAGGCTCCTTCGTGGCTGAGTCCTCGGAGCAGGTCGGACAGGGGGCTCAGAGGGGGGCTCTCAAAAAGGGCCTAGGGTTTAGGGAGCCCCCAAACCAAAGCCCCAAAAAGCCCCGAAGTTTTTATCTCCAAAGCCTTAAGGCCCGTCTCAGGCAATCTCCTGGCCCCGAGCGGCAAAGGCCCGGAGCGAGATTCTGGAATACTTCGAGGCTGGGCGGAGAGCGGAAGCTGCAGGGCGTGCAGGGCTTGCAGCTCCGCGTCGTGTTGGAGGCGGCATCGATCGCTGGCCATCAACCTGTGTTCCAAGGAGTCGAGGCTCGAGGACTCTGAGCTTTGAAGTTTCTCCCTCTTCTTCTCTTAAATTCGCTTTGACCAGGTCGGACAGGCAGAACTGCAGTTGCTCAACGGCTGCTCCTTGTTGCTAGGCCCGGCGGGAAGGCTAAAGCTTGAAGTGCAGCTTTGAGGCACCCGAAGCCTTGTCCACTCTGGACAGGTCTCGGTCCCGTTCGATCCACTGCGGTGCAGCTCCTTTCGGGCGAGGACAACTCATGACAGGGTTAGCCAGGGCGTCCTGGAAGATGCAGTGAGCAGATAGCACAGGATCCCTCCCTCATGGCGCAACTGCTAGACTCTCATCTGATTCCAAGACGTTGCTCGCTCGAATCTGGCTCAATGGCTAAGAAACTGGTTTGGTGAGGCCGCAACTTGGGATGATGCGCGATGTGGGATTTCTGGCACAGTGCTTCAGCTCAGAGCGTTCAGGAAAGCCGTCAAACCCTGGGGGGGAGTCCTCCGATGCTTTCGATTCCGAAGGCTGCTCTCCCGAAGCGGCGCTCTGCCCTTGACCACGCAGGTGCCTCGGACTTGCCTCAAGGCCTCATCCAAAGAATCGACAGTAGCCAGCTGCAGTGGCAGCGATCTGCTTCGGAAGAGGCCCAAGAGTGGCAATCAGAATTTGCTGGGAACATTGTCCGAGACTGAGCGGGAGCGGTTTCGTGGAATTCTGTGCTTCGGTCTCCGTCTCCCGCATTTTGAGGAGCTGGCGCAGCCAGGAGGGGAGCACTTCTTTGACTGCTCTGCCCTTACGAACAGGGCTTTGTGCTTCCCTTTCATTTCAAGGCTGGCAGTTGGCATGCCGTGCTGTATTAGGTGCGGGGTCTGGCGCAGGGCCCGGCAACGGCCCTGTCCCCGGCTGCAGAGCACACCGGAACACAATGCTACCGGATGTCGTTCCCTCTGAAACGCGTGCATCTGATCTGCAAGCAGCTGTGACAGCAAACAAACTGCAAAGGGACGTCTAAAGTCAAAATAGTGTTACTGAAAGGTAAACTGGTAAAGCCATAGTGCGACTTACTACCGCCGAGGTCTTGGAGGCCTTGCTGCCGGTGGGGGCGGCCAATTCTAAGGCACCAAGCTGACATGAGCAATCGCTGGCTGTATCTGCCTGTATGTATAACCATGTAACACGCCACGAGTCCAGGGAACTCCGGGGATCTGGAGCTCGAGCGCGTGGCTCCAGAATCCCTTCCTCCCTCTCCCTCCATGCTGGTTTTGGCATGTGTAAGAGTATGTATGACAACAGAGCTACCTTTATTATTGAGTCAGATGTACACGCAATCATTGATGTGCAGATGCGCCATCTTTGAATATCCAGGACAAGCAGTCGGGCGTACTGGCCAGAATGAAGAAGGGCCTTCTTGGCCTGACGGGCGCGGAGCGGTCCGCATCTTGGAGCGACAGCTGGACGAGTCAGTAGTCAGCCCGCTGGCCTTGCAGCCCCTGACACTGCACCAGCGTCGGGAATCACTAAGGAAGTGTTCGCCTAGGGACATAGCATGCGCTTGCCTTAAGCAGTGACAAGTTGGACAAGCTGACAAGGCGAAGTGCAGCCGCGTCGCAGGCAGATTCGAGAATTGAGTGATTTGTGGTTTCGTGGCGTGGCCGTGCAGAGTCAAAGACGACTTGTAACGTGACCGACCCCTAAGATGGAAAGAAACTGCCAGGCAGATCCCGGCGCACTGGTTGGCGAGAAGCTGCGGAGCGAAGAGGACGATGCGTTCTGTTTGCTCCCCGCGTTCGAAGATCGGAGTCCTGGCCAGTACTGCAAGGATGTCCTCTTCCTTCCGTCGTCGAAGCTTCGAGCCTTTGAAGGCCTGTCACCTTCTGCCGGAAGCCAAGAGGAGAACTACAGGTAGCGCCCCACGGCAGCCTCTTTCACGCTGCGCACGACCCAAGGAAGCGGAGGTCGTACTGACCATGTTGCCAATGAGCTCAGTTGTTCCTCGCATCCTCCTGCTGTAGGGTGCAGTCTCAGAATATGCGCAACTACATCTCAACGGCTCGAGGCTTGCTCCTTACCTTCGCATACCGCTCCTCTTGGGCTACCTGGGCACATCCGAGCGCATCGGTGCGTTGGCAGATGAACGGCTCCAGGCACGGCGAGGAAAACTAAGACGCCGATCCGATTGGCCTAGGAACCTGGTGGCTGGAAGTCCTTATTAGAAGTATAGTATAGTGGGCTCCAAGACCGCATTCTAATTATTAAAGCCCCTATGTCATTATCACAAGGAAGTGGACACCCTCTCCAAGAAGACACACAAAGTGCTTCACTTCTGCAGGGCGTCCTGGAGGCCGCGGTCTTCGAACCGGGCCCTTGGAGGTCCTCCACGCGGCCTCCGGAGATCCCTGAGGCAAGTGGGGCTTTAGGGCTTAGGAGTTTAGGGTTTAGGGGTTTAGGGGTTTCGGGTTCAGGGTAGCGCCGTAAGACTCAAAGACTCAGCAAGAGAAAGTCAGCGGACTTTACGACTTTACCGAGCGTGCAGCTGCCGCCGGTGCGTTGGCCACGCCCTTTAAGCCTGTGTTCGATACTCCTCGCATCTTCTACTCAGTACTCCTTCGAGGCACCACACCTCATAAGTGAGAAGTGCACTCCAAGGCGAGCACTTCAAAGGCACCACCTCGCCAGAAGCCATGTGTGCTCCGGTTGGGTTTTGCACCTCAAATCCCGAATGGTGCTCGCTTACGTGGGGCCCAGTGGTATACCGGCATCGAAGTTGCTCAGTACCCAGTTCGATCCAATCCTTGCCAGACATGTTCTTCATGCCTGTGGCAGTCCCACTCTCAAGCGATGGTCGGGATGGGAAGTTGAATGCCATCAGCCGGAGGGACAGGACTCCAAGTCTGCTCGGTCGAGCTGACTTATAGTAGAAGGCAGATATTCCAGGCTGCAGTCTGGAGAGGAAGATCACAAAAGTTGTAAACTCAGTCATGCCTGTCTGGCAGGCAATTCCGGCGCGGCACTCATCTTTTCCTTGGGCTTGACCATGAGTCTAGCAGTCTGCTGTGCTGCGAGACAGGCTCCAACGCGTTCCCATTTGGCCACTCCATGTGGCCTTTTGATTAACGAGCCTTGACCTCGGGCCCCTTCAGCAATCTGTCCGAGCTTTCGTACACCAATCCTGTCTGATTCATTATGGTCAGACGAGTGCAGGCTGTGCAACGCACCGCGCCCGACGTTGTCCATGCCCCAGACATGCACAGACACAGGCTTCGGAAAGCTGAAAACGGTCGCGCTGGTATACGACCAGCACCAGGAGCTTGGGCTTGGGTTCTCACGAAAGCCACACTTGTCCTGTTTCTAAGGGCCGGGGCTGCAGCCTTGCTCCAAAGTGCCCTCGAGCGTGACACGGGCAGAGCTCCTCGAGCTCGACTTTTCCGGCATGGCGTCATGGGTCCAACGGTCCAACAGTGCACATCGATTCTGTGCCAGGCTGCAGCGGCTCCCATCGGTCTTATCCTCTTTGCGCGACCCTTATGCCTTAGGAGCCCGCGCGGGCAAAAGTGACTCGTGACTCGAGCCCCTATTGAAAGTGAGGCGATACGGATGGGCTGCAGAATCTTCTCTTTCGCGTCAGCCTCAACTATGCTGAGCAGCGGGCGCTTAGCACGTACTTTCTACGCACAAATGTGGCCTTGCATTCCGTCCTGACCCACGTCTGGGTCAGTCGGATTCAGGCGAAGGCGCTTTTGGAGTGCGGGGCTTGGGTATTGAGCGGCCTTTGAAATCCTCCTCGTGACGTAGATTGCATGTAGTATACTCAGCTCGACAACCTGACGAGCCTTACGATTTTTGGGAAAGTAAGCCTGCGTGCTATGCTTGTTGCAGCCTGTCCCGCAGATGTCAGCATGCAGAAACCTTTGCCAGATGTGACACTTTATGGAATCATCATGGATCATGGATCACAATACTTGTACGCTGGAAGATCAGGTCCGAAGGTGCAGGCTCTTTGGCAGTCGCGATTGCACTTGGTGCGGGTCGGCCGTCAGTGGAGGCAGGGCAAAGCTAAAAACTGTGAAGACAGATGCAATAGACAAGGCACTTCTAACCCGAGAGGCTGCCGTGGATCCACTCAAGAAGCAGCTGCTAGCCTCCAGGTGGGGAACATACCTATGTTTTCGCGGCTTGCTTGTGTGACCTACCGCGCGAGGAAAGTCCTCCAGCGATGGGCGACTGAAGCGGCGGAGCATGGCAAGGCCGCTTCGAGTGCGAGTCGGATGTCGGCGGAAGAAATGACTGGATGCCTTTGAGGCTGCGCTGGCCTGTGCCGTTTGGTCTCATCTCGCCATGCTTCAGCACGGGCCTCGGATGTCTGCAAAGCGCAACTTTAAATCATCAAGCACGGTCCGGCCAGGTCCTGCCTTGGCTGGGGCGAGGCGCGCAATGTTTCAAAGGTCCCAGGCAGTGGCAGCTTCCCGAAGAGACGGGGCCTCGAGGCTGAGGCTCCGGTGGCGCTCCTGGCCTCGCAGCTCCTGCCCCGCCGGCATCACTTAGACTTATTAGACTTAGACTCGACCCGCGGTGACCTGGATTGCGAGCATGGGCCTGGCGGCCAGGATGTCGATGCACGGCCTAGATGCAGTCCTAGTCCCGGGTCCTGGCACTTGCAACGGAAGCTCTCTCGCCTCTGCATTTCGAGCACAGGTCTTTGAACGGAGCGAAGGGCGCAGTTCTTTCAGTGAAAGCTTGAAGCCTAGTCTATGCTCAGTGCTTGTGTCTACACTCTACACCTCGCTGCATCTCACTCCCAGGCCACGCATCACCCATGGTTCGCGCTGGATCGGGACAGCTGCCCGGTGCTCAGACGAAGTGACGGTGCCTTACCCTGCTGAAACAGCCCAGAGTGGCCAGGCCTGGTGCAGAGCAGGACCTGCCAAACACTGACTTACCTTTGGTTAGTAGGGAATGGAAGAATGGTGGTAGTAGTAATAGTAGTAGTAGTAGTAGTAGTAGTAGTAGTAGTAGTAGTAGTAGTAGTCAGTCAGTAGTCCTAGTAGTAAATTAGTAGTACTACTGCTACTAACTTCGTAGTAAGTAGTAGTAGTAGTAGTAGTAGTAGTAGTAGTAGTAGTAGTAGTAGTAGTAGTAGTAGTAGTAGTAGTAGTAGTAGTAGTAGTAGTAGTAGTTATAATTGTACCCCATTCCTCCATTCCCTACTAACCAAAGGTAACCAACCTTGTGCAGTGTTTGTCCTGGAGGATCCCATGGGAGGAGGCTCTGCCTGCGAGATGTTCGCGATCCTTGCGGAAGACGGGCTTTCTTGGCAGTGGCTTTTTTCAGGGCTAAGGACAAGGATGCCTGCCGCGACGAGAGTTCACAGGCAGCCCGGAGACATGCCTGGACTCTGACAAAGTTCCAAACCGTAAACACCCCTTCAAACTTTCCAAGACAACTTTGGTGGTGTGTCTGCAAGAGCAAGGCCATGACATGCGGTCGCCTGTGAGATGTAACAACGATTGGCTAAGCTGTGAAGAGAAGAAGGAGCGCACGAATCTGGCCCGGTGGCTACGCCAAGGAGGCCTCCACAGTTGGGGCCAGCACTCCCTTCGAAATATGCTGCTCTTCCAGCCGATCCCCTGACTCGTCATCGGCAGGTAGCCAAGCTGCAGCTGCGCTCGAAGCCGCAGTGGCCATCGCATCGCTTTCCAGAGGCAACAGTTCAGGTGTGCGAGGCTGAGCTAAACAGATCCTGAGCACATGTTTGGGATTCGGCTTGACTGGACCCGCTGACAAGGCCACTGCCAGCTCTTGGACAGAAGTTCGACCAGGCCTCCTGAGAGGGCCTGCCTTCTGGATGCAGTGACATGAGATGGCAGGAGCCACACAACTGAAGGTGGATTCCGAAAGACTTGGCACGACTGATGCGGTGCCCAGCGAACCGACACTCCCACCGAAGATGCTTGCGATAAACAGAGGGATGCGAGCAAGCGGAAGGAGGACATGTAAGAGCCGGGAAACTACGGCAGCAAGTGCCAAACAATGGGAGAGAGCATCGGAATGCTGCAAAGAGGGACGGGTGGCGGTGATAACCCCAGTGCGTGTGCGTGTTTCATTTCTTTCGGCTACACTGCCAAAACTTCCTTGAAAGTGACCCCTGCCGCAGAAGCCGCAGCCACCAGCAGGTTGTGTGACGGTGAGGTGGTCGGTTAGTGCAGTAGAGCAAGCAATGCAGGCAGAACGAACAAGGTACTTGCCAGCCGCTGTAAGAGGAAGGAGTGGCGCCGTAACGATAAGATAGAATACCGGAACTCCCGGGGGGGGTGATGTAGCTCCGCTGAGAGATGACCTCTTGTGTGGGAGTTTCCAAAAATTAGGGGTACCTAAATCTGGGATCCTTATAATGAGGATCCTACCATTTAGGGTACCATATTAGGGTCCCCTGTTTTTGGAAACCCCCGTGTCGAGTCCAGCAGGTGTGTTCATGCGTTCTGCCGAAGCTCCGCTCCAGGACTTCGGTGCAAAATCGCTCCATGGTTCCAGACACCTAAGACAGTTTGCCTTTTCCATGTGAGGACAATTCCAAGCTCAGACCGGGTCAGAAGGCTCTGCTCCCAGAAGAAGAACTACGAGCGGTTGCTCGTACTAACGGGAGAGTTTCTGTATGGGAATCAAAAGGTCGAAGAGTATTTGCAGCTCTTGGCATCCCTGCCAAAGCTCGCCTACGACACCAACTTGGGTGCCGTGCTCAAGCCAGTCAGCCCTGTCCAGAAGGAGTACTTCACAAGTGCTCAAAGACGACAGAACCAGGTTTGCTAGACCAAGTACACAATCACCTCCTAGTGCTGGCTTCCCATGTCAGTGCTTGAGGCAGCTTCGCCATGCAGCAAGGAGAGCTTCAAGTCTTACCAGGCACATGGATTTCTGGATCTGACACCCGGAAGCCTACGGCAGACTGGCGGTACTTGTAATCAGATGTGCCAGGCTGGGCATCCAGCTCTCCAGAACTTCAAGACGTTTTTGGAGAGTCATCCGAACTCCAAGGCATTCTCTCAAGCCATTGGCTCAGTACTTTGAGCTCGCGACTCTTGATTTGGGGACGTGCTGTATCGGCACTTACAGATGGGCCTTTGTTATGCGTTGTCATGCAACCGGTCTATTTCGCAGCTAATTTGGCAGGGAATCACCTGTTGAAATCTACAGCCTTCCTGCTTGCCATGAAAACGGCACTACTTATCACGAAAGCTAGCTCTGTTGAGCTCGCGGGAGTTGCCCTTTAGCAATTTTCACTTGGTCTACCTTGTATTAAGGCACTAGGGCAAAACCAGGGCGTACACCTTATCAGGTGGGACGTCCAAGAGTTAAGGTGGGGGGGTGGGGGGGAGGAGGGGCCGCCCCCCCCCTTCCACCTCGCTCACGAAGCATTTTGAAGAGACAAGGTGTGGTTTCCCCCCCCCCGCCTCCCCCCTCACCTTTAAGGTTGCGGCGCGTGGGACAAGGTGGGGGGGGGCTCCCCCCCCCCCCCCCCCCCTACCCATAGGTTCCCCCCCCCCCCTCCCTCCACAAGGTCCCTCAGTTTGCTTGTGTTACTGAACCGAACATACCTTGTCGCCTCGGCCTCGTGTTCGCAGTACCCTCATGTCACATGTGTCCCCCGCCTTACTCAGCCCCAATTGCTCGCAGCTACGCTTCCTCTCCCCTAGCTTTCGTGGCCCTCTTCTCAAGTGCAGCAACCAAGAATGCATGTTGGTGCCAGCTGCGCGATGTTTTACATGGTACAAATTCGACAGCGCACCCGAACCCAAAATATCAAGGACGACGCAACAGTAAGGGGCTTGCAGAAAGAGCCAAGTTCGCGTTGTGTTGTGTGTTCCGTAGACTCTCTGCTGGGGGCGATGATCATGACTCTGCACTCTTTGAAACAGGTCTCGTACAGAGAACCGAGCATCGCGAGTGCATCAACCTGGCCGGCCAAAGCTGAAGCCTCGGCCGGTGAATTGTAGGGGATTAATAATTTAGAATAGGGTTTTGGGGCCCATTATACTATAACTATAATAAGGAACCTACAAAATAGTATAGTGCATTCTGAAAGTATGGCTGTGTGTTGGTTTTAAGGATGCGACGTGCACCACTGGACGCCGGATCCGCGCCCCTGGCCTAACCCTGTTGCTGCGTGAGCCTCAGACAGCTGTAACAGTCCTCGAACCAAGCCATCAATTCTCTTCTTTACTTGTAGAATTATAAAGTCAGCTGCCAAACCAGAAAGAATCCAAGCATTGGAGTCCGTCAGGCCCGTGGGGCTCGCTGTTCCTGGCTTGACGAAGCCGTCAGGAGCTCATTGCAAGCCTCGCAGTGATTGATCTTCAGTCTCTCACTGTTGTGCAAGGTGAAGGCGGCAGGAGGCCTCTCAGCTTGACTGTTCTTTGGTGTGCCTTGCAGCCGCATGTTTGCATGAAATGCCAGCCCGGACTGTTTTTTTGCCTTCTACTTTACCCTCTGTGCATGCGCATACGTGTGCCAGAGCGCGTAATGCTTCTCGCAGTGATTAGTGCCTTGCAGATTTTTGGCTCAAGCTCGGCCTCGCGCGAAAGCCACTCGACGGGGACTGCTGGAGACATGAGCCCGAAGGCCGGATTCGGCTGAAAGGCGAATGCTCTTCACGTAAGCCTCGACAGGTGAGCAAGAACGCAAGGAAGGCGACAAAGCGGGACGGATGCCTCAACGGCACCCTGAAGGCTTTTCGCTTCGAGTGGGGGCCTCGGTTTGCAATGAATTTCTGTGGGTTGCTCGCGCCTGCAACACTCTGAGGCGAGGCTTGCCACCAGACATCGAGGACTGGCTGAGGCAGGTGAACCTGAGAGTGGAGGACGCCCAACCCATCCTCGCCGTGCGACCCGGCAAGCCGAAAGGTGACGATTGGTCCCTTACGGTCCGGATCCACGGCGAGGATGTGGAAAGGCGAGGCCGAGTACTGCGCGTGTCTTCGGACTGTAAGTCGAAGGTTTCACCCGAGAGAGCCGGCCCTCTCCCTGATTTTTTAAGGCGCCTCCGTCCCGAAGAGGATTGGAAGCACCTCCACATTTGCCGCCCGCGTTATGGTGAAATTTGTTCTGGCTGCGATGGAGAAAGTTGCTGCAGTCTGTAGCTTCTGGTTTCGGCTGTTCTTCTTGCATCTTGTTGAGAAGCATGTTGCTTGACCGGTGCACCCGTCCCTGCCATCAACCATCGCTTATCAAACACATGAGACTGGAGAATGGCTGGTGGAGGGCAAAGCCAATCTCAACTGGAGGTTTGACAGTATCTTACAAGCATATAGCACACACAGGGGGTAGCACAATCAGATACGTCATACACGTGGATACCGTATATGTATAAACTGTACAGAGACACTGCACGCATACTAATTTATGCTATAATCCAATAGCACGATCTTAGAGTCCCCGAGCCCCTGCCGATACGACACTGTTTCGAACTCCGCGTTAAATGCTTCAGGGTTTCGAGTTAAGGGCTTGCAATGTGGACTATAAAAATCACATAGCGGGACATACCCTAGACCCTAAATCATAGAACTGGATTTTCGAGACGTCTCGGCGGATCGGAAAATAGGTGCAAAAAATTTAAATCTGATAACGGGACATCCAGGGTTCAGGGGGTCTTAATACCAGTTTCTGGCGGCAGGCCTTCCCACAGGCTTGGGAGCCAGTCGCCTGCTCGGAAGCTCGGAGAGGACCCACACCGATGACTCGAGTTTGTTTAAGAATAGAAATTTATCAAAAGATATGCCAAATTGTGGCAGTATGCCACACGAGAGTATGTTACGCTGAACCACTGTCGTACGTCATAAGGTATTCTGTAGTATACCATAGCCCACTGTCCTATCTTGTAGTGTCTCCGCCGTTTCCGTCTGGAGGATGGCACGTCTTGCTTGCGAGGTCGAGGGCATTGAGGTGCGCGAGCATCTCATCTTAGAGGATCTTGCGTTGATATCTCCTGTCCTGCATGGATTGTCGGATGGGTGCCTGGGTCATGTAAAAGTAGGGCCTTGATCATGCGCGGTAAGCCGTTTGTCTAGTCGAAACTGGTTGAAACTCGTTACTGCGATGTACGTTTGAGTATTTAAATAGACTGTAACAACGCATGATAAATGATATACCATAGTTTGCGAGAATGGCAGGTGATCGTGCTCCGAGATCCTCCAGTGGTGCAAGTTTTCGAGCAGTGCTCGCACGTGATCCTCTGAGATGCCATGTTACATTGTGTGCGACCGACTAGAGCTCGAAGCATCGCACACGCCTGGCTGCTTACATGACACGTTTGCCCCATATCCTGCACTTATTAAATTCAATGCATAAGAAAGGCGAGGATGGTCTTTCGAAGATTGCGATGGACCAGCGATGCCTGTTGGTGCTTCACAGGCTTCGCCTCCCAGGACTGCGACGTCGGAAGCTTTCGGGACTCTGAAGCTCTGGGGGCCCTGTTTTGGAGCTTCGGCTTTGAGGAGCCCTGGAGCTCTGGGCAACTCGGCCGATCTTCCAAAACGTGGACGTGAAGGGAGGGGACGGTTTATTCGATCTCGGGAGGTCGGGCACTTGGTGCCTCTGCTCTGGACAAGGAGGCACTGGCCTCTGTGCTTTGCTTCAGCTGTCTCCTTTGCACATGAAGTGAGAACCGCCTAGGTGAAACATCGTGCGATGCATGCAACCTTCGCGCATTCATTTTCTCTCACTCACACAGGATTTTTCTTATCCCTAGTCGCAACCGTTGCTTCTGTTAGCAGCTTACGACAGTTCCGTGGCAATCTTGGCATGTCAGCGAGAACTTCGGAAGCGTTTCACTGTCACCTTGCGAAATCCATCAGACTGACATCGCTCCATGTCGTCCTATTCACTGGCTTTGGAAAGTTTATGCTGAGACTATCTACCTCCAGCGGCCACATGTGATCCAAGACTCATCCTCGAATTGTCTTCGCGGGCGGGCTTGGAATTGATTGTTTTCATTTTTTTCTTCTGCTTCATGACATAAAGCAACTGACAATCGAGATGCTGCGATTTGGCCGCCCGAGAAGCAGGGCACTGCGAATATTCAGGCTGCGAACTCCACTGGGGGGGGGGGAAGCAAGCTGAGCCGCTGGGGGTTTGACGCATTCTCCGGATCTCGCAGTGTAGCTTGTCTAATCTAGCATATAGTGTTCTGCATGCATGCTCCCAGTAATGCACTTTGAGCATTCATGACCTCAGAGTGTGACCTGAAAGCGTTCGGAAGGCACCTTAGTTTTGGGAGCTGAAGACCTGACTTAGGAATCCCTGGCTCCTCCGGCAAGCAGCCCCCGGCACCCGGAAGCAAAGAGACCGTGCTCATCCAGAGGGACTTGCAGGACAGGAGGTTGGTGTGATTGAGTGCTGTAGAGGCCAGCAACTTGCTTCAGCTTCTCAACTCAAAGTCAGGGTTTCTGGGTGCAGGAGGAAGGCAAGGCCGTGCGGGAGGTGCCAAACCAAGCTCACGAGGGCACAGTGGAGTGCAAATCCGTACAGCATCCCGCATTCCATTCGAGGCGCTCGTTCCGCCACGGACTCGGAAGCAGCAGGATCCAGCTGCGTCGACTTAGCGACCAGACAAGGTCTGATCTGATGAGGGGCCTCCTTCCCGAGACCTTGCTACGTGCGGCTCCAAGGGCGTTTACAACTTATCCAGTCATAGGCAAAGACATCCCTGACGCGAAGGCGCTTTTCGATTCTGGAGGGGCGCCGATGGGCTTATGCGTGGAGAGGACTGCTGGATATTTACTTCAAAGAAGTTGTCAGACCATGTTAGGCAGCTGTCTGCCATGCTCAGGAGAGGCACCCAACACAGCCTGGTCAGCATCTGCAGGCAAGGTAGAACGAGATTTTGGGATTCGCCATTGAAGACTCCAGATGCGGCCCATAGCCAATGAGACGTTGCCTTCCGGAGGTGGAGCGCATTGACGACGACCGGGTCAGAGTCTGGCGGTATCTGCCGGAGTCCCTTTGCTCCCTGCGTGCTAGCTCCGGTCTCCAAGTGCCGAGGGCGTCCAGCCATGTGGATGCAGCTCAAGCCAAGCAGACGCCCCACAGGTGGGACTGCCTTTATAAGACTTGGGAGTTTCCGAAAACAGGGGAACACTCCCCCTGACCGGCCGAGACCGGCCCTTGCCAGGCAGCTGCTGCTGAACCTCATGCTCAGCCAGAGCGACTCTCCTTTGCGGCGCCTGGTGGGCCTCCACTTCTTTGGAAGGGATCTAGGCTCTAGGCTGAAGGCTTATTAAGGTCGAAGAAACGCATCTTCTTCCAGTAGAGTCAGTACAGCTATATTACGCTGGGGCAGGCTGACGTGCTGACACGCATAGAAGACCTGGCCTTCATTCTCTGCTGGGCAGACGAGCAAGGCAGTGTTGCGAGCAGTCGATGCCCTCAGCAGCTGAATCGAGTCCCTTAGGTCGGGTGGCGGAAGTGGCACTGCCGCGGCTTGGACTAAACTTCAAGGCGCAGAGCTTCGGGCGACTGAGCACCTTTTCTTGATGTGGCGGGCTGGTAGCTGCCCTGTGCCGAGCAGGTGAACCGCCAAGGGTGCCTCGAATGCCTGGGCTTTGGCGGCCTCAGCTTCAGCCTCGGCTCGCTCAGAAGGGCGTAGACTCGGCATAGACGCCCCATAGGCATCGCGGCCGAAGCACGCCTGGCGGAACAGTCGGTCTCAAGCAAAGCCGGGACCCTTCTCGGCTTGCCGGGCTTGCAGAAGTGACCCTGCCAGCTCTTGAGGTCCGGCATCGACTGCAGCAGTTCGGCGGCGCAGCTCTGCTTCTACAGGTCGCGCCCTCATTTCTCCACTCAGCAGACTCATTTTTGTAGACTTCCAAGTCGAATGGTGCAAGGGCGAGGAGGGTGAACTGGCCGTCCTGTGCTCTGCGCTGCAGCGCCCGCGGCGTCCTGCTGGAGGGTCAGCCGTTCAGATGTTGGCAGACGGCAGACCCTAGCACTCCTAGCCATGGCAAATATTAAAAGAACCTCAACAAGTTCTCAATGCACCCAAGGCCTTCACCCGTGGAATGGGGGGCCCCGTTGGTGTTTGATCGAAGCAAGCGGAGGAGCTTCAGCCTGAGCCTCGCTCAAAGAATCCCGCGCGGCCTCGTTTGGCGTGAGCTGCGCAGCCCTAGGCAGCGACTCGCCTGGGCCGGGTCACTACTTCTTCTCCCTCCACTCCTCGCAGACCTACGCGCAAGCACAGGCACAGGGCCTTCTCACCACGTTCCCCTGCGAAGTCGCTACAGTACTTCTTTTCCTCTCTCTGGACAGGACCTCGCCGCAGAGCTCTACCGCCTAACTTGCTGCTGGCTTATGCACCGCTACGACGAGGCATAAAGCGTAAGCTAGCGAAAGCTTCTGGAGCCCTTCCAGAGAGTGTCAAGGCTCCTAACCAAGTGATGCTCGGCCCGTCTTGAACTGCAGGTGGTGCGATCTGCCAGCTCTCTAGGCTGCGACGCTCTCACCTCACAGGAGGCCCCCGACGAGAGACCTTCACGGAAGAAGATGGCGTGACTGCAGTGCCTCCCAAGTCGTCAGGCCGCCTTGTGGTCGCAGCTCGGCAGCGAGACGGCGCACGATCAGCATGCCGGGGGACCCCAGCTGCCGGCGCTCCGGGTGGAGAGCGTTTCGCCCATCTGCGACTGCCCAGCAGCTTCAGGTGGACGCCCACGCATGTCGCCTTCATCTCTCCACAGCACTGCAACCTTTAGGCCGCCGCGTCAAACTTTTACGAGATGTCTCAGGGGAATGCAGAACCGCCCCTGAGTCAGGTTTGGAGCCTCCGTGGTCCGTGAGGGATGCGTACGTTCAGCGTGTGCCTCAACTTTGGGACGTTCACTTCCGTTCTTTAGCCATCTCCAGCCCAATGGAAACCGAGGTTTCTGCTCAACCGCCATCACTGTTCAGCAAGCTGCCTCCTGACGCCAGAGCTGGAGCTGCAGGTGGCTGGGAGATACTGGGAGCGCTGTGTCGTTGTCGTAGACTCGGTCCTGTGGCAGGTGTTGAAGATGGTGCCGGAGCTGGTTAGTTACTGAGCTTGGGGCGGAACTCTCACTCTCGTATCTCCTGATGCAGGATAAAACCGGGTGGTCCTGTGAATCCCGAGGATGGCATCAGCTGGCTCCTGCGCAACCGCCGGCGCATCCTCGAGGCACAGAGTGGCGCAGGGTTCCAAGCATCTCCAAGCCACGGGCATTGCAGTTCCGCTTTTAACGGCACGGAGCCAAAATACTTGACAACGTGGACGGCCGGCTAGAAAGCAAGATGACTAATGAAGATAGATGAACAAGGTTCTTGTATGTCTGGAGCCGCCACCCCTTGCTCCGGGCGACGGTGTGCAGCCCAGACTGCCTTAGCTCTCGGTAGTTGAAGCCAGATCATGCTGGTGCATGGCATTGGAGCCTGCAGGCTATGAGGTCAAAGTTTTCTCTGAGACCTCAGCGGCTGAATGGACTTCGACGATCAGCTACGGCCTCAAAGTCCTTCCCTGGTCTCGACTGCGTCTGTGGAGCTAAGGCTTGGCACCATCGGCAGAGGAGACAACGCTGCAGAGCCAGAGAATCTCAGAGTGCCCTAGCCGCCGGAGGAGCACCCACGCAGTGGCCCTTCAGCCCTTCGCTTCATTGAGCAGCAGCGGGGAGCACGGAAACACGTAAGTCCAGCTCATGAGAGGCCGGGAGTCCGGGAGAGCAGGCTTTCATCCGGACCTTTCTCGATGCAGCAAGCCTTTGAGATCTTCACGCGCGTCCGAGCCCTGGGCTGGCGTGAAAGCTTGGTCTTGTGCACTGACGTGCCCTCACACTAGCAACAGCATAGTTCGGGTCGGAAATGCATCAGTGGGCCCGCTTTCGGTGCCAAGCGGAGGTTAAGCTTCCAGATGCGGAGTGCCAAGAGCCAGCATCAGCACGCGCACACACACACACACACACTCACACACACTCTATTTCGCAGCATGAAGACGATATCAATCCAGCTGAATCCACCCAAACCCAGTCCGAATTTCCGAATGCTTGCAGACTTCCTAAGCTTCGTTTTTGAGCACGGTAAGGTGACCTCATTGCAGCCTTTTCCAGATGATGCTCCTCATTTGGTTGCTGCTTGCCTGGCCGCATCCTTTGCTTCCCTTTATTATTTGAGCATCTGAACGCCCAGACTCCATACTTGGAGGATCATGGGACTCAGTAAGTAAGGTTATAAGTACTTTAATTGGGGTCATGAGTACAGTTACCCTAAGTATAACCCTAGTTACTAAGTTACAAGGCCCGGGCTTATGGACCAGCTTCTGCGGCTCTGGCGGCTCTTGCACGTGCCGCGGCAGAATGTCTGGAAATCCTCTGCGTCATGACCCCTGTCCGCGTCCATGCACGTCTCCAGGCGACGAAGGGCTTGTGGACAAGCTCCCCAAAGCGCGTGGACCTCAGATGCGCCCCTCTGCTCGCTCATGTTAGTGACAATCTCACCACCGCTATGTCATGGGGTTTAAGACTGCACTCTTTTCGTTCATTCACGCTTTCCACGCTTCAAGGCCAAAGAAGCAAGGCCTGCTGCCAACTGCAGCGCACAAGCGATGGTTGCAAGAGGCCTTCTCTGCTAAATTTACAGGGCCCCAACACCTCCACACTCTTCGAGCTTCGGTCAGGTTCGAGAAAAGTTGGCGTCGGCCGTGCGGAGCAGTCCATTGCCCGAGCCGCCGGCGCCGGCAGCAGTTCCTCGAGAGGTGCACGAATACTCGAGACTTCACAGTGCAGTCTTCGCTGCGCGAAGGTCCTCTTGCAGCACGGTGCTCTGCGACTCGCGGCCCTGCCCTGAGAGTGTAAGCCATGCTCCCTTGAAGAGCTCCGGCTCGGAAAGAATCTGTGTCAGAGTACTCGTCACGGTTTCGTGGAGCTGGGTAACAAACTGCGCAAGGCCTGGCCCATCGTGCAGGTTGCGGATTGTGATATGCGCACAGCTTGGAGCCCGGTCTCCAGGTCTGAAGAAGCATCCTGCTGATCATTTTCATGTGTTGGCACACTGCATCGCAATCCGTTCTTGCTCCTGGCGGCTGTGGCGCGAAGGCACGCCCTGCCACTGCTTGGCTTGCAGAATGGGAAGATCAGAGTGCATCATTTGTAGCAATTCAACAAAGCTTTGATGGACTTCGTTCGCACGGTGTCCATAAGCCTTCTCCATCGGATAGCCCCATAAACTTAGCTTCCCAGCGCGCGACAGTACGCGGCTTCCTTGCCTATGTTTATGTCTCGCCTTCTGAGGCTGAGGTGCATGAGTCTGCCCCATCAGTGCATCGTCAGCCATTCGTCACATCCACGAATCCCTTGCAAGGCATATTCAGACCTCGAAACAGGTTTGAGCCATCCGGTTTGACGAAGACGACACACCCGAATTCAATCAGATCATCGACAAATGTGGTGGAGACAAACTAATACCCAATGCAGGCGTGAGAATCGTGAGGTTCGTATCCAAACGCTAGGCTCATAGTCTCTGAACCTGAAGATTCTTAAGCCTGAACCGTTGATGGATCTTCTGTCCCTCGCTCTGTTTCTGGCTCTCGGTCCACTTTCTCTCTCTCTCTCTCTCTCTCTCGCTCTCTCTCTGCCCGCTGCTGTCGTGAGGTGTCGGGTATCGCGGCCTTGCGGAAGCCACTGAAGGCCAAGCTCTCGTGCCAACTTGTGAGGCCTGCGAAGATACCAACTTAGCCACTGGTACTGCATGTTTGCAGGAGATTTGCGAATCATTCTTCAACCTTGTTCCCACGACTCAGGGCGCCCCAGTGCTGCGCCAAGACTCACAGTCTGAATTTGTCGTGCTCGTTGTAAATCGTTCTGCCCGTGCCAGGCCCTTGCACCGTGGCTTCTGCGTGAGATCCAGGCTTCTGAACCCTTCCATGGCCGATCCGAGCGCAGAGCCTCCAAGGGGCCTCGGGCCTTCTAAGGCTCTAAGATCTTCAAGCGTAAGCAAAGCTTGCCCTGCCGACGTAGGCAGACCAGCGCTGCACGTCTAGAGGAGCCCGATGGGTCGCTGCTCCAAGAAGCTTCAAGAGATTCCGGCTCTTGCTTATGTCTGCATGGGGTATGTGGCGGCATGCAGTAAGTTGTTCCATGTAACCAGGATGATACTTGCGCTCGCCCAGGTCAAGCGCTTAGAGGAGTCGCTGTTGGAACTGCAGGCGACTGTCCAGGCCAAGCTGTAGAGCCAAAGCCAGTTCTAGGATGTTCGAGGTCAAGGGGTCCTTTTAGAGGGCTTCTCGAAATCTTCAAGAGAATACTAGAACAGCAATGTCACTGAAGCCGTTGACACAATTTCGCCCTTCCATGAAGAGACATCTCCGACCCGATAGGTTGTGCTATGCCTACCTGAAACAGTCTGCCGGTGTATGCCTTCATCTTAGGGCAACCGACAAGGCATGCATTTCAAGCACGCCTATCTTGCTGCCGGTTGTGTCCGTGAAGGTGCCGGCGCTCCGTGGCCACATCCAGGAACTGACTTTGACTTTGCAGAGGCTGCATCAGCTGCCCTTCAAACCCGAATAGTCCGGCCGACAAACAAGAAAATCTGGAATACCAGAACTCTTGAAGCCGTTGCATCAGCAAGCTATCCCCACCCACTCTTGCCGCATTTCTCAAACAACCCGCTACAGCCACATGTTCACATCCGGTTGCAACCCAAATCAGAACCAGCAATTGAGTTCGGAACACTATTCGATTCATTGTATAGTCCCTCATTATACCTAATACCAGCTCATGCACTATGGCCTTCGCCTCTACGATGGTGGTCCATATTGCCAGCGTCAAGTGTCTCTTCGAACATTTGCCGACGTCGACGGCGGCAGAACGATGGTGCTTGCTTGTTTACTGTGAGTGGCAGGTCAGCTTCGTTCCTGTAAGCAGCATATAAGGCATATTAAGGCATTACATGCGGTATGGCGCTGTATTTATAGTATAGAACATAGCATAAATAGTACATAGTATGATTGAAGTAGTATTGTTTGAATTCTCTTTATACGGTTTTGGCAGATTGTGGCGACAATCAAAGGCGGCGACATGCCGGTCCACCCAACACGTATGCCCATGGCATGGTCGGCTCTTCAGGTTCTCCGCAACGATATACCGAGATCACTCAAGTTTGTCGTGGGGCAGAACGGAGGTTGGAGCGCCGTTGCCAACGAGCAGTTGTTCAGGAGTCTAACAAAACCGAAGCGTGTGGATGATATGGACAAGACAGATGCGTTCGGCAAGAGCGACAAGTCGCTCGCGATCAACGACAACACTGCCGCCGCTGGCGAGCCCAAGGAGAACAAGACTGACAAGCAAGAGGAGGAGAATCAGAACCACGACACCGACAACCCAGGGGAGCACGCGACCAAAGCTGCTGACAGCGACTCAGACAGCTCACCGTCGTCCGCAAGCAGTAGCTGTAGCTGTAGCATCCAGTCAGAGGACATGAAGAAGATGTTCAAGGACATGGAGCCCCTGTGCCACACACGGACGACAGAACGGGGCGATGCGTGAAACGGCATGCTTCGTAGTTCGGATGATGGTTATAGTTATAGTTATAGCAATCCAAAGCGTCGTCGTGTCGCCTGTAGGGCCTACAGAGTCTTGAAGATTTTGAAGGAGGCAAAAGCGGAGTGGGATGGAGCCTAAGTGGCTTGAGCACAGACGCATGCTTCACGAGAAAAGATTTTGCAGATGTTTGCTCTCCTGCACCATGTCTACCAGCTACCCAAAACTTCTCATGCACCGTGTCTACTGGCTATCCAAAACCACACAGCAAACAACAACCAGAATCTACTCCTGTACGCTCGCTGTCAGCCAACTGTCCAAAACCACACACCGGGCAACAACCACAACCACATCCTGTTCTTCCGCAGCTGTCACCCTTAGCCTTCACCCGCTTTGTCGCATCATCTCGTGAACGCATGGTGAACCTGTGGAATCCACCATGGAACTCGTGGGCGGGAAGGAGTGGTCATTCGGAGCTCTGGCGGTTAATCGCAGATGGGGCATGCCCCGTCGACAGAGATAGACGACCCCATCACTATGGCGAACTTCCTGTCCAGAGCCTGCCACGGATCTCCTGGGTTTCGAACGGCTACACTCATGTCGGGCTCCACGCCAAAATTCCCGAGATTGGAGGTTTAGCTCGCTTGGGCGGTTTGATCCCGCAAGGGAGGTGCAAGACCCTCCTGCGCCTTTATCCCCCAACGGCAACCTTCATACACATACAAGATCATAAAAGTACATATAATATGTGCAATGAAAGATTGTACCAGAAATCGATTAGTGTTCTGAACTCAACGGCCGGTTTTGATTGGGGTTGAAGTGGGAGGTGTTGATGTAGCCGTCGCACATTGGCTGATAAATTGGGTGCGGTACAGGATGTGAGGTCGGGGGTCAGCCGATGCTTGCGGCTTTCAGGCAGCTGCAGCAAGATCGCAGACAAGCTGCAGAGGCCCGCGCGGTGCTTCATTTCCTTTGCGGGTCGAATTCGGCATAATTCTACTTCACTCGCATGACCATACGATGATCACAGCACTTCTCCCGGTTACGTTTCATGCATCTTTGGACGCTTCTTCTGGAGGCCATCACAGCTGCTGAGGAAGCGGCTGCAGCCTCTTGCATGCGCGAAGCCTTTCCGGATGTGTCATTGAGGGAAGTTAGTAGTAGTTCGGTGCCACATCTTTTCTTCTCATCAACACATGAACATGGGTTTCCTAAGCGATTGTTGGCCGACATGGGCTATGCATCAAAAAGCTGTCAGCTGGCCTTTCCTTTTTCCGACAGGCGGGAAACTGCCAAGATCTAAGGAGGCTTCAAACAGTTCAGCATCTAAGGAGACTTCAAACAATTCAGCATCAGCTCTTCGAGCTTTACAGCTCAAAGGGGGCCTTGCGCAGCTTGGTGGCAGCTCTGTTCACGAAACTACAGAGGCGGGTACCATTGTCTTCCCGACATAGAACGAATTGCTGAACAACCCCAGCTATACCCTAATGGAGCTTGCAACGAAATGCAGAGGCAAGCAGGCCCGTCTGGCAATCTGGCCCCGAACCTTGCTGAATGGCAAAGACGGTTTGATGCATTGTGGTTCGCTCAAGTTCTGGGATCCCTTTCCGAGCTAACTTTTAACGGATTTCACAGAGCCCCAGCAACCTTGACATATGTGACAGCCAAGCCGCCCATCTGAATGCTCAGGCCCCGGCTTGATTTCTGTGGCCTTCTCCGTCTTTGGATGGCTGAGCAGGGCCATTCGCCGAGCTGGGGCAAGGCTCGGGGGCAGCACAGCACAAACGCTCCTGAGACCCAGGCGGGGAGATTCTATGCAAGCATGGAGTCGACGAGGACAAGGTGCTGGGGCTCCTTGGAAGCATGATTCGTCTGCAACATATTCTCTTCCCTACGACCTTGAGATTCGCTTTTCCAGTCAGCAACCAGGCTCGTGGCCGACTCCCTGGTGCTGCAGGCCAGCGGAAGCCTCGTTCGAGAGACGAGTGACGGTGGTTCCTAGATGGTACCTTCCTCAATAGGACCAGACCAAAGCGATGCTTGCCTGTATCGACCTGTAGTGTCGAAGAATGACGAAAACTTGCAGAGGTTCGCGCAGCTCAGTGTGCCAGCGCTTTGCGAGCCCTCCGTGCAGAGGCTCCTCGGTTCTTCACCATCTAAGACCATTCCGGAGAATGTAGTCGAAGAATTCTTGCGTCATGTGACTGCTTGCCGCAGCAGCCAAGATCAGCGCAAACTTGCCTCGCACGGGGGCGGCATCATACCCGATTGCACTGCTCTACAGCGAAGCTCAATGAGCTAGCTAGCTAGTTCATGTGTCATAGCTACACACTGGTCGACCTCCTCATTTTCCGCTGGTGCATTGGTCAACTGCGCAGCGGCCATCGGCTGCGCAATTTGTCTTCTTCTCCCGTGCCTTTCCCCTCTCCCCCGTACCCATTTAGCATGCCACCAGTGTCTGCTGGATCGATACCATATGGATATCTGTAGAGCGAGCACAGAACCACAAACAGCAACACAAGAAGGCAAAGTACCAACTGCAAAATGCAGAAGCAGCAGAAGAAGGAAGAGCAAAAACAGAGAATGGCGGAAGACGAGGCGAAAGAGGCACATGGATTTGTGTTGACAGCTCTGTTTGATGCCTCGTTTTTCTCGCATGTTATGTCTCCGAAGTTGGTCTGATCGGGACGTCCTCTCCCCCATCGCACATATTCTGCTCTTGGCATGGTTGTGTTTGTTTTCTTGCGTTCCGCATGCAAAATGATTCGGTCCTTGCAGCATAGTCTGCTGTGTCAGGTGAATAGACATGAACTCAGTGCATGTTCTGTGGTTGTTACTCTATTGCCGAAGGTGTCTGGTAGATTAACGATTGTGCAGTGAAGATTGGTACGTAGCTACCGCATTCTCATACTCATACCGCAATCAGCCTTTTGGGCCCCGCTCAGTCGCAAGACTGACGGCCCCCACTTTGTGCAGCTAATGCTGGCAAGTTCGCAGATGGTGAACAAAGTCTCCGACACTGCCTGATCGCACTATCACTACCATTATTGTTGTTACTCTTAATAATTAGCATAGGGATTTGGAGCCCACCGTGCTCTCCTTGTAAAAGGGGACCCCCACAATAGTATAGGTAATTATCAAGGCCCCTCATGTAGAACCCTATGATAGGTCCCTTAAATAGAGCCCTTTAAGGATCCCTATCGCCCTACTCTAATCATTAAGGCCCCCCATATCCGTAAATCCCTTTTTGTATCCTTGTAGTAACCCTTGGGAGTTTCCGAAAATTCAGGTATCTTATTTTGGGACCTTGCAATAAGAATCCGACTATTTAAGGTACTACAGCAGGGTCCCCTAGTTTCGGAAACTCCCTGTTAAAGGAACCCATTGCTATTCTGATTCTTCTTCTTGGCTCTGAGGATGGACGGTCTGTAGAGCTGAAGACCAAAGCAGCCGCGGAGGAAGTCGCCAAGGCGCCTTCCGCTGATAGCTACTTTGATGGGGGGTTCCTTATTATGGTTATAGTATATGATTACCTTTACTATATTGAGGATTCCTTTATTTAAAATGATAGTATGAGTACCTATGCTCTTTTGGGGGGTTCCTTATCATAACTCTAGTATAATGGGCCCCAAAACCCTATTTTGGAAGTTCCCGTATTCCGCCGAACATCACGCAGAAGTTAAGGGGATAGTGATAGTAGGGACGCATGAATATGCTATACTAGCACATGCACAGGCATCAGCAGATACCTGCAGTCAGAAGCCGCATGGTGTGAAATTAAGGTGGATTCTGTTGACAGTAGAGTGGGTGGATGAACAAACCATGATCGTGGCATGACGGAAGTGTTCCTCAGGCTCGGGCTGGAGCCCTAAATCCAGCAACCCTTAACTGCCTATATGCATCAAAGCAAACCGCGAAGGAATTTGAGAGTGTTAACCCATAACACAGATTCGTGCACCTACTGTGGTCAGGAGCGGCACTACTTGGCGCCGAATCCATGCGGAGTGGGTTTCGTTCTTGGTGCGCACCCAGTGCAGACTGCATTCAGAGGTCGCGCACAGTTACGAAGCCGAGTTTCCCGGTAAGGCTGCGAAATGCGCAAGCATGTAATTTGTACTACGCGAGTTCGGTACTGCTCTTCCGGTCATTCCTTTGACAGGTGCTGTCTAGGCCTAGGCAAGCCAGGCAAGCCACATACTGTAGCATGCCCAGACATAGCAGGTCTCCGAGTCAGGGGCCTTTGTGTCAATGATGGAAGAAGTATGGAGGAGTAAGTCAATAAGCCCAGATGCTGCATTCAGTTTAGGCTTGTTGTCGACTCGATAGACTCAATCTACTGGCGCCTCCACGACCTCCGCAGAATTAGCACGGCATGAAAATTGCGCCCCAGCCCACCGCCCACAAGATGTGGAAGTGCTGTGCGCAGATCCACGTCTGCTGGCTGTCGAGTTCCTCTTTGGCATAATGCTTCGAGAGACCCAGGTTGAGGCACGCCGGAGTTCCCTGCACCAGAGGGTAGACTCTGGGCCTGCGTTTCGCAACTTGCAGGTGCTGCGAGCTTTCCTGCAAGGCAAAGAGGCACCAACGGTTCATTGTTTGTTACATCTGCACCAGAACTGATGTGAGCAATGTGCAGGACAGCTGGGTTCATCAGATGCTGATGGGAGGTGGTAAAACTTGCGTGCTCTGCTCAGCATTCGAGAGGTTAGAACATCTTGTTGTCACAGACCCGTTTGTGCTCTGCCTGAGTTGCAACGACATGCCTTCAAAATGAGGTGATAGCCCCAATCTCGGCAGCCCTCCTAGCCACGTCCCACCGGGCAAAGTTACCGGTGCAGCCGCTGCGGCCGTGAGCTTCGGAGAATGGCAGGCCTTCGCGACTTTTCGTCGCTATCGTCCCGCCTGGGGCTCGGGCTGCTACGGTGCTTCCGGCTTCCGGCGTCTTGCCCCGTCCTCCACCACAGCCCAGGTCCAGCCTCCTGACCTTCTCTCGAAATCAGCAGCCCTTCTCAGTGCTCTTGCGGCCCTTGCGATGCATTCTACTTGAGTGCGGACCAAGGCTCCGCTCCCGTCTTTGCAACCCCTGCTTGGGGGTTCCTGCGGTCCCCTCAGCCGTGCCCGTCAGGGCATCACATCTCTTTCTGCACTTGGGCTTGCGGAAGGTTCTTACTTTTGATTTTTCCCGCGAGACGCGAGCCAGCTCCTTGGGCTTGGGATCATCAGCGACCTGTGCATGATGAGCAGAGTCAGGGCAAGCATGCGGCCGGGCAAGGTCACTTCGCAGCTTCTGCACCGACTGCAGCATGCGCGACGAAAGCGTAGCGCCGTTTGCGCCTCGCCACAAAGCATTAAGCTGCCGGCTCAGCCAGTCGAGTCGTGGTGAACTACTGCGTTTACAGCCAAGCCAGATCAGCGTCTTTTTCTCTGTTTCGCTCCTAGCAACAGCTCAGGTCGCTGTGCCTTGGGCCTGTTGATGGAGCGCGCAGCACAGTTGCATGGGCAGATTGCCAGCACCGACGATGGGTTGTTCTGTCGGGAAGGGCTGCAGGCTGTGAGGGATGATGGTGGAGGTCTGCAGATATACCCCAAATGCAAGCATATGGTGTAGTGTACAGATACAGTACTCTATGGACCAGTGGTCGGCAAACGATGCAGACGACAAGCTAAAGCGCGACCCGCAACATAGCTTTGGCAAGGCCTCTGCAATACCGTCGCCATAGTTCCAACTTCCTCTGCCGTGGCACTTGCCCTGCGAGCGCCATGGCACCGGTGGAAGAGATCACCACAACAAAGGCCCCAAGAAGAGAAGAGCAGTTGCGACAGCTCTAGACCTCCCATGCAGATTTGAAGGTGGATGGCGTATGCCACGACGTGTGCCGTATCATGGCCAAGTTCCTGAACGGCAAGCCCCCTCCGCCTCCAGAGTCCGGCCAGGAGGCCCCGGTCGCTGGTCATCCTTTGCTTCCTGATGTGTTTGAGCTGCCAAGCCGCCAGGGCCTCCGCCTTCCTGACTGGAAAAAGGAGCAGGCGTGGCCGAGTGCTCATAGAACCAGTTTGGGGTCGTCAAAACTTTGGCCGTCCTTCTGCTCTTGCCTGTTCGGTGGTAGCTTTGGTAACCGTCTCTTCTTAAAGCTCCACAGGCTGTGCAGTACTTCCAGCACAATTTGGTCATTGATGACAAGTTCCACTCCAATTGGCAGAATGCCAAGCTTGTGTTCAGTATCTGCAGCAGTGCACTCAACCACACTTACATGCTGTCGGTCACAGTTCTTCCCACAGAAGTACGGCAGCCATAGAAGTCGTAGTGAAGCGCTGGTCGCAGTTGCAGCTGTCAACTGTCGTCGTCACAAGTCCTGGGTACTGGTGCCAGTCCAAGGTCTCGAACGCGAGCCGACCTTTGCCTCGCTCATTTCCGCAGGCTTGTGGACAGCTGGCACCCGGGCAAAAAGGCCGCTCCAACGTGAGGGAGGGCAGGGGGAGGGCATCGGTGGTGCTCCCTGTGATGGTTACCGTGGTGATGGTAGCGATTTCGATGCTGTTCGATTCAATAATGGCAACACGGGCCATGCAAGAAAATTGGGAAGAACTGCGTTGCTCGATGAGCACAAGAAGCGTAATCAAGCTGCCACACCTTGCACGACCCGTAACGTGGTCCAAGTAATGTCGGTGCTTTGCACAAGAACAGATCCCATCATCAGCAAGCGGCAGGTGTAGTGATCCCGAATAAAACATGCTGATACGTTCTGTCGCGCTTCCAATAGAAGCCAGTTGAACTTGTGCAGATCTTTTTCTGGAGGATTTCTGGAAGCAGTGCCGCGACTTCTGCAAGGAATGGGCTGGCTGGCAGTCAGGACAGCTCCCTCAGCATAGCTAACGCTTACATACTGTAGATGCGCAGAACAGTTGTCCTTCCTTCAGGACCTCCCGTGTGTCGGCCGCTGAGTGCTGGCAGGTGGCAGAGTGGGAGCGTTTCCTGAGCCTCAGAGTCTCAGACTCTGCTCTCCGCGCAGGTTGAACAACTACCTGACGCACCTGGCCCGTGGAAGTGACGCGCAGGACTGGAGTCTGGAGGGGGGCCGGGGAGCCCCTGAGGTGTGCTGGGGAAGTCGAAGCAGTATCGAAAGCAACTGTGTTCCTGGTCGGCTCTTGGCAGCGCGTGCTCAGGAGATCATACCGAGCCCAGAAATGCTCGCTGCAGTTGACAGGTGGGACTGGAAGCTTTACTTTCTGTGACCGTGAGAAGTTTTCACCAGCCAGGCTTGCTGTGCCGAGAAGCCTTGTACTATGGATCGGGCTGACCAGCAGTGTAAAAACAGGTCCGAATCTGTTGGGGAACCCTTACGTCCATCAAGAACAGTTTAGAGCTCTCGCAAGGGTGCCGTCCGAGTGCTGTTTGAACACACCGTCTGAAGCCGCCCACATCAGCAATCTCATGGCAGGTCACTGCCCAATCATATCACTCTCGCATGTTCTTCGGCGGGTCGCCAAAAGCAGCGCAACAAGCCACGGCTTTCTCACCAGGCGCACGGTACTCTGGGTGCTGGCAGGTTCGGTATCCGGGTGACCGACATTCGGCTCACAAGCGAGAGCATCTTCAAGCGCCGCCCTTAGTCCCGCATGTTGCACTCTCGATTTTCGATTTGAGTAAACGAATCGGTTCTCGTAAATAATAGCATACTAGAGGCAGTTGAGCCGTCGCCTATTGTAGCATGAGTAGAAGCGGCCAGAATCCTTCATGTGAAAGCGACGGGAACACGAGAAGCGACGCCCCGCCTTAGGCCTTAACAGGCATAAAAGTTGAAATCGACTGGAAAGCCCCGGAGCGAAGGCCTCCATGCCTATTCCGATGCCTAGAGACACTGCGGCAATAGAACGAAGCGGCGTTAAGATCCCAGTCTCAATCCTAACGTTGTCGTGACAGAGGTACAGATGTAGCCTGGCACATTCCGTCGTGATCGCGCCACTACCATATGGACTATGATATAGTTGTGATGAATACGGCCGCTGTATCAGCGTAGATAATGCCTTGGCCGGCGGCACCAGCAATTCTACTGTAGCGCTCACAATGGGTCGCTTTGCTAAGCCAGTGGTCGTGTTGAAAGTGCAGGTTCTGTCGGGACTGGACTGGCTTGGACTGGAGAGCAGGCCCAAGCAACGGACAGGAATGCACCTCGCTCTGTGTCGTTTGCGAGATCTACAGCATCCTGTTTTGCCAAAGGCTGTGCCAGCGACCCTTGTCCCTGGCCTGTGCCACAGGCCAATTAGCAGACCTGAGTAGTGAGAGCTCTCCTTGGATAGGTTCCCTTTTGAAGAGCTGCAGGCATTCAACGGATTACTATGCAGCTGGAAACTGTTCGCACAAGCACGTGGGCATAATCGAGTTTACTTGAATCCTCCCTGGTCACATCTGGACCTCTGGCTCCGCAAGGCAGGGAAGCCGTGTGCCGTGTCGCATGATGAAGACTTGAAGCATGAGGGTCGGATGGTACGGTGAGGCAGCCATGGAGTACGCGACGGGTCTGCAGATCTTGATTGTTGTCCCAAGATGGACGGAGGCATGCTCGCGCGTTTCCTGTATGATCAATGTACCGCGAGACGCTCTGCAGTTTTGTTGCATTGGTTTGCCACCTGGCCAAATCTTGCTTATTGGAAAGGAAAGTTGCATCTCTACCCTGACCTCGGCACAATACAGCCTGAGGTGCAGCAGACATGTTTGTTTACGGAAATCACTCACATGGTCCGGGTTCGCATCCTGAGTGATGTATTGCTGCAGCCAGGTTCGTTTCGAGACCACTGTCCCTCAAAACACGCAGGACTCATGGTTCTCCGTTGTCGCCCTTGACAGTTTCCATGGTTTGACACATACGGGATTGGCCACGCAAGCTGTGGAAGCTGGGAGGATGTGGGATGCGGAGTTCGCCCACCCCACGAGTGGCAAGGCTATGGCCCCCTTGGACGTGACCTTGATTTGGATGGTGTAACAATGAACTGGCGCAAGCCTCTAGGCTGAAGGGTTCAGTGGCGTCCGCGAGAGTTAAGAGACATGAAACTTCGAGACCGGAGTCTAAGGTTGGAATGAGTCACCTCCACGATTGGTGTTCATGCCCTGACAGCTGTTGGCACAAGGGCATGCGGACAGCACCATCATTCTCTTCACGCCGCTTGCATCCACTCTGTACATACGAATCCCCGCATGCTGTACAAACACTCGTCAGGGTGAGCCCCACCAGATTGAATGTTCCGCTCAACAGATTAGGACGATATCGTCGGCAAATGGGTTGTTTCAAGGTGGCTCACCCTTCATCATGTTGCACATGCCAGGCAGGCATGCATAAGCACACTCAGCATTGCTTCGAAAGTACATTTTTGAGTTGTGGAGAGTGTAAATTTTCATTCTCACGAGGCACTCAAGTCATGCATAAGATGCTGCAACATTGTAGCAGGTGAACATATATCGCAGTCACAACTGGAAATATCAATTGTATTCCATGCAAGACTTGGGCTGTCAGATTTCGCCAAAAGCGTGAAACAGTCCGCACCGAACAGCGAGAGGAGAATCCAATTGAGCACGTTGCACATGGTGCTGAACTGCGTGTATCCTACCTACCACGTGTAGAACCGCAGGGCAAATTGCCAGGCTCCTGCGTGTCGCCGAGCTGGCAGGGCAGCAAACCTCCACGGTTGTTACCGCCACTGCGACCGGAAGAATGCGCAGATTTTTGAGTGCTTTTCCCAGATGATGCTGATGATGCCGATCTCGAACCACGCGGTCCGCAATTCAGACTGATTTCAGGTGCTGTGGGCATCGGAAGTGAAGGAGGCCTTTATTGCGTCTCTCATGGAAGTGTGCATCAAATTCGCGTTTGCTCTGCCAGGCACAAAGCAGCTTCCGGAAGTCAGTGCTGAAGAAGCACTCCAGGCTGGAGCGGGTTTCTTCCAGTCCATCCCGCATGCTCCAGCGCGGAGCAACGCCAGCCCGCGCATCTTGAAAACCTGCTCAGAATGCGAGAAAGATGCTGGAGCTCTTCAGAGGAGCGACGGCATTGATCGATGAGATTGACTGGGTTCGACGCTGAGCCTGGCGACGTCTTCATGTGTACATATTCTGCACATGTTATCAGACTTCAGTCAACCATCCATCCATCCATCACCGCCTGCTCGAAGCCATGCACACAAGGTGATGCACCCTTTGAAGAGCGAGCTGCATTGGCCCTGTGGACCAGTTCGCGCACTCGACATGGCTGAAGCCACAGAAACTTATCCGCACCAAAGTAAGGCAAAATTATCTGCGACATGAACTGTAGATCATAATTTCGGCGCTCTGCATAGGCAACCTGCCCAGAGTCTGGGTCGCGGCTGGCTCAGCTTCGACCGTGCTGCTTGATTTGGACCTCTTCACTGGCTGAAGTGATGTTGCAGATCAGGAGGTGGCGAATCATGGGATGCCTGGTGCCGACCACAGACCTGTGTGGGCATGCACAAATTACACTAATCCAGGAATTCGGCCTCAGTGACAATGTTTCGAACACCAGCACTATCATTGCATATCCGCTCAGTCTCCCTTAGCACGGGCTCTTGGCAGTGAGACAACAAGGTCTAGTTCCACGTTCCTGCACAGGGCCGTTTTGAAAGAGGTCTCGTCGAGATTTACCCAGGTGGATGCTGTCCAAGAGATGGGCAGCAGTCTCCACGCGGCATTCGAGGTGTAATATGTGAGTTGTAGCCTTCGTATGCTTCCTGAACGTGCCTTGCCAGGCGGGTGTTCGGGAGCACAAGATGATGATGAAGCCAAATCCAGTAGTACTGGACAGAAGGCCGGCGCACAGCAGAGTCCACAGTCCACCTGCATGCCCAGAACCCCCCAAGAGTTGATGTTCAAGGAAGTACAGTCAGTGCAGTGTTGCAATCGGTGCTTCGTGGGAAAAGCTTCGAAGCCATGTCCAGCATCCCCAACGCATGATCTGCTGGCAGTTGAGGCACCGAAGCACAACGAAAAGCGCAAGCGGAGCCTAGATGAGACCCCTTGCTGGCCAGTAGCAAAATCAATCACACAAATTTTGGAGTTGTCCATGCGGGAGATGATTCGGTAGGCATGGCATGCTAAGAACAGCCTCAGAAAGACAGCTCTGCCATGTTGTGATTCCTAACTGCAGATCTGCTGGAGGCGGGACAGGGAGAGAAGAAAGGTTGAAACGGAGGAGGAGCGAGCCATTGGACGGCGCTCGATTCACCAAGGAGCATCATAGCATCAACAGCCTTAAGAAGATGGCACGACTTCCCTACAAGGCCCCTAAATCATATCTCTCTCCACTTCTGGCATGGAGACTGTGAACCTTTTTCAGGTGGTATTATGTGCGGCTGCTGCCGCTCTTGGCAACCGAACTCGCCAGTGCCAAGCCCCAGAGTCGCTGTTCGCATCACTCGCATGAAATCCGAAACGCAAACGTGGCTGACGGATTTCATAGAGTAAAGGCTTTTAAAGGGGAGAAAGCAGAGGGATGCATTCGGTGAGGGCACTTTGGCCAGTAATTTTTTCTCGCTGACTGATTCCTACACTCCACTCTGAAGCATCAAGGCCGCAAGGCTGTTCTTCTGCACAACCTGCATCCCGTTAGCACGGTCGGCCAGTCTGACGCCTAGGTTTTCTGGGACCGCGCACACCGGTGCCACGAGAGGAGTTGCTCTCATTTTTTGGTCCGGAAGGCATCGGCGGCATCAGATGACCGTAAAGTTCCCCAGATGCAGTATCTTTGTCTTGCGTGCAGGTCGCTGTGGTCCCACTTTGACAAGGCGATGGCCCCGTCTTCTTAGTCCGCAAAGCATACCCTCCCCCTCGTGCCAGGCTCCCGGATGCAGAAACCAAGCTCCTGACACTTGGTCGGCAGCTGCTCCACAGCGCCGGAGTCTCGAATCCAGACACGCAGGAAATCTCAGATGCCAGAAGTTTTGCCCACCAAGGTCTTCCCACACCTGCTCAGATGCACCGGCACGTGTTACAGAAGAGTGGCATCGTCTGACCACCAAAATGAGATTGACAGGTTTGCCTCATCGCATTCGATATGGTTTGCTGCCAGATCGAGCCCGGGCCCCCAAAATTCCTCTCACCCCTTGCAAGGGAGCCCTTGCTTCTTCACAAGGCAGCCAGCACAGCTGGGCTGAGCACACGTGGCCGCGGCGCACGACGGGCTTTGCTCGACGCAGTCTCAGCTCGGCTCGTGATTTCGACTCATGGAAGCTTCTTGAGTGCCGCTTACACCATCTTACACCCATCTGTGCACACCTCCGAGGCAGTACCATTCATTGGCAAGGACTGTCCCTCCACGGCCTCAGAGTTTGCCCATCCCGACGTTGCCATCGGGCCAGCCCGGGCTGCTGAAGATTTCGTTGCAGCATGGCAAATAAGAAGTGTCTCAGACCCTCGCATTGAAGAATCGCGCTGTCTCATGCGCCGCCCACAAGCTCCCCCAAGCCAACTACCCACACCTCACACCTCCCGCCAGGTTGACGCTCCTGGCCTACCGCTACGAGGGTCTTCGGAAGCAAGACTTCGTTCTCCTGCTGAAGCTTCTTCGGGTGAGGGGCTGAGGCCCTTTGCGTAGCACTTGCCGTTCCTTCCATGCAGCAGGCAGAAATGGACGAAGAGAGAGGGCCACACGCAAGGAGGCCGGGACCCTTTTCAGTCAATTCAGGCCTACTAGTTGCTACTAGTAGTCTCTCACTGGTAGGCCGACCTGTCTTCGATGGGTCTCCTGGATCAAGGAGGCTGGTGGCCGTGTCACTGGCTTCAGTTGGGTCGACGGCTCGGCTCGTCCAAGCGGCCAAAAGCAGCTCGGGCTGAGCGGCGCTTCCGCCGAGGCTGGACAGTACCTTTCTGACATGCCGAAGGCACCGCGGCCATCACGCTCCTTTGTATCAGATTTAGGGTCAGGGACCTTTTCTCCTGAGGACGAGGCTCGGTTGGATTCCCCTCCTGCCAATCAGCCTTTGCTTGCAGATGATGGACTGGAAGAGCCAGCGGCCAAGCATGTCGCGGACGGCTAGGAGACCCTTGATGGCAGAATCTCTTGAACAGGCTGCGTGCCAACGTGTGGCCTCTGGAGAGGGTAAGCCTAAAAGACAAGCAGCAGGCTCGCGATCAGATGCGAGTCTTCTCGGATGGCCATAAAGCCATAAAGAAAAGCTCATCAAGGTGCACTTGCTGTGGTGCTTACTGCAACGCACAGTCGGCGCCGCCACGAACTTGGCCTGACTTTATGCGAAGAACGATATTAAGGTGCACATTTATGAGTCATCACGCGATCAAGTGCCTGTTCTTCAGGTCAAGTACTATCTGTACGAGCATGTTCGAGCCCTACACGGTAGTGCTGCTTTGTAGTCGGTTTGTCCTGTCACGGGCCGCAACCGAAAACAAAGGTTTTTCCAGGCGTCATGGGCCTGAGTGACTCGCTGCTGTCGTGCACAGCACAGGACGGCCGAAAACGATGTCGGGACACTGCGCCGAACAAGTGGTGAACAATCATATCATAAATGAGCGCAGCAGGAGCTTGGGAGCGGTGTGCTCTTCGGCCAAAGCCTCAGTGAGCCCTTCAGAGGGATGTTCCTTTTCGCTGGGACTTCAGATCAGGTCGGCGTCTCGGCTTCAGTGGTACGCCCTCGGAGGTGCTGCCTGCAAGTGCCCTTGGCTTCCGCGTGTCTAGAACCGGGGAAGCAAGCACAGAAACCGCAGTCGAGGTATGGGCAAGATCCATTACGAGCAGGGTTGTGACGCGAAGATTTTGAGCACACTTCTGAATGCCAATGCCGGGAACCCAACAACACAGTTGTTGCACCGGCATCCTGCGACATCCCGGTAAAATTCTGTGCTCTTGCTCGGAGTACAAGGGAGCGACACGCCCTACTGTAGGTCGTCACTCGGACAGAGACTCTCCCAGCAGGGTGGGCCAGTTTCTCAGGGGCCCTATACTACTAAGGGTACTTTATCGGAACCCCCCATTAAGGGATCTACTTCTTCCGACAGAACTGAACGTCCTACTTTGCCTCGGTGGCTGAGGATCCTTCGTGGCTTCTGCAGCGAGCTGCGACAGGGGAGTTCCACGCGCCCTAGTCCTAGACTGGCTCAGAGCCCTTACTGTATGATTGATGATGTGATTACTATTCTTCGCAAAACGAACTGATTGTTACTACGGTTTTCATTACTGCTATGGCTATGATTATGACTGCGAAGTTTTGTTATTGTTATTAGTCGTTTCTCTTGCCAGCATCTAGAAAGCTGAGGCTCATCGATGCGGGGGCATTGGTGGTTGGCTTGTCGAACTTCACCGAGTCTTGGCACGAAAGGATGGCAAGAGCTCGTAAATCATTCAGCAGCAACTTGCAGCATTAACCCCCTGAGAGTCCCTATATAATCACATTGCAAACTCTCCATTCGCCATCTGTTATGCTATAAAAGTTATAAAAGCATGACCCCCCAACCCTGCTAATTAGAGATCCCCTGAGTAACTCCATAATTCCGGGCCCGGCAGGATTACACTGAAATATACACCCAAAGCCCAAAATCACTTGGAGCCCTTGTTCTACAACGATATCGCCCCCTTCCAAAAAAAAGTAGTCCAAAAGTAGTCGGAACCCTTGACTAATTGCAGCTTTCAATTGCGTTGTATTGCACCCAACTTCAAAACGATCGATGATCCAGGCCTACTTGCATCTAAAAACCATATAGATCCAACCCTAAATCCCAACAAAAAACCGGCCCTAAATCCCAAGAAAAACAGGATTCCACCGACCTTAGCGGCTAGGCCCGAAACCTAAAGTCATAAAATCCTACGTAAAGAGACCCTCTTTCCAAGGCAGCCTCGAAGCTCCTGGAGTTGGCTTCTGAGCCTTCAGCTGAAGAACTGCATAATATGTGTATATATATATAATATAGTATAAGATAATATAATACAATATAACATAATATATATATATATATATATGTATATAATTGTATATATATATATATGTATATATATATATATATATATATATCATACATGTACTGTACGATAGGACTTATAACATATAGCATACAGATACTTAAGGATGTACGAGATCTCACTGCGAAGATGATATGCGACGTGCAATGTAAAACATAGGGTATGAAGTACATGATAAAGTACCAAGTAATGGGCTGTGGGAGAACATCACGTCTACCTAAATACAACTGACAATAGAATATTACAAAATGTTCCTGTCACTAAGGCTGTGGTGTATTGTGTTGCATCATGTCATACATTGCAGTAGATGTCTGTCTAACCGTGTCCTGCACCAGTGGTTCGTTTTCGCAAAGCGGCTTCCGGGCGTTACAGAGGTCATTGCCGTCATCCTCGTTTTTCGGCGTGGTGTTCTTGACTGAAGCGGATGAGTCAGTAGTGCTGGTCCGAGCCGTCAGCTCAGTCGAGCCAGACTATTCAAGTTGAGATTCTGCTTGAGCCTTGAGCAGTGTCACAATGTTCTTCCTAGGACGGGCGCATCTTGCCCTTGGCCGACTGCGGCTTGTCCCCAGAGCAGAGATTCACGACTGGTCCTCAAGCAGACAGCATTCAATTACACGAAAACACGTGGCTTGTCCACCGTGGTCTTGTGAGAAGGCTTGTTTCCTCACTATTGAGGTTCTACGACCACGTGCATACCACTGGGCTCGATGTGCCGCAAGCTCCCTATGCACGTGCTGCTCTGACGTTGGGCTCTTGCCTGAGGAGTTGGGTGTATAATATCATATATCTTATAGACATTAGTAAGTGTACATAATGGGAGACTCCCTGACTTTAGAACGTTGCAATCGCGAGAAGTGTGCACGATCAGCAATCTTACACACACCGCTAGCTGACCGAGGTAAAGACATGCTGTGGAGAGACTACGCACAGGTGCTCCACATCCAACCTCCCAAAAGAGGAATTGACGCCGGAGCAAAGGGAAGTCGTGCATAGCTTCTGCCAGCAAAAAGCAGCAGAGGGTAGTAGGTGCAGTGGTCGGCTGTGACTCGAAGCCACCAACATTGGCAGGCCGCTTTTCGCATGCGAGGGCTCGGACCAGGTGCTGCAGTCTCAGTTCTTACGGTTGGGCTTCTCGAGTGCTGGCTTTTGGTAGCAACGCTGTCGATGATTGTGCACACTGAGGCGCAGACGTTACAATTGCCGTGGCCTTGCCATCGCAAGAACCATCCGTCCTTGATGTCGGGTTTTGGCCGGCTAGCGCGTCTCTTGGTTCCATGAGGCTGGTGCCTCCGGAAATTCGTCACCTTGTAGTGGCTGCTAGGTGGCAATACACTGTAGGATTCCATGATTTTCATGGTGTCCTATGGACACTTTGCGGGTTCAGGCAGCCGAGGAGGCCGAGGTCGACTTAGAGCCTCCAGCGCCGGTGGCAAACTGCCCAGGGCTCGGAGATACCATGAAACTTCGGTGCGCGGGTGCCCAAAAAGCCGAGAAGCCCAGGCTCGCCCAACGACGACCTCATTTCCCTGAGCGGCGGCCCCACCTTGCCCGGATCGGGCCCGGTCTGTCCTCATCAACTTATCTGTTCTCAGGTCCCGTGGTTGACATCGGCCTGAACAGCTTCGCTCAGGACTTCCGAAGTCAATCCAGAGAGTGTGTGAGCAGATGATGTGGTTTGCAGGATGTGCAGGCAAGTCAGCCCATGCCCCGGGGCGAAGACGTGGTTGAAGCCAACCAAGCGACGCCCCAAAGTCAAAGTGTCATGCTACAGGCCAACGACCACACTCCAATTTGGCTTGGATTCCCTGCTGGCACAGCACTTACCGCACTTGCCCACAGCATACCTTGCAGCCACCACAGCCCGAGGCTTTTGATGCCTTGGCACCTTCAAGCTACCCGAAGCAAAGCATTCAGGAGCCGCTTTGTGCTGCCATGCTCCGCAAGAACAGCGACTTCGCTGAAGCCAGGCTCAGACAAGCCCTGAAGAGCACAAGAAAGAGCTCGCTGCGATCTTGCGATGGACGGGTGGCCCACCAGAACGCAGTTCTCCACCCTTGGGATCAGAAGACCCATTGGCCGCACTGCAAGGCGGCAACACGCTTGACAGTGACATCAAACAGTTCGCCTTGCTCTGTGAGCAGAATGTGGAGGCTCTTTGGAGGCCCAACGGAGTTGCGGAGTTGTTTTGTTTCATGTCGGTCGGCCATGCATTTTGATCGAAGCAGCATGCGTTCTGGGAGGAGTCGTGCCTGGTCTGTAGTTCAGGGCAAGGACAAGGAGGCACAGACCTCAAATTCGGGCTCCTGCATGGCGGCGACGATCCCAACCCGAGGCTTCGATGGGCTTGTCCGCAAGCTTGACAGTACTGCGGATGCCCAGAGAAGATGCCGCATGCCTGCGACAGCCGGCCGCCGAGCGGCGAGAGCTCTCGCTGAGCTGAGGTTATACCGAACGATCCCGATCCGCTGGTTGAGGCCCTCTGTCAGTTCCGTGCCGCTTGCCCCTCTCATCCCTTTTGCTTGGTACTCGGAGCATCGCCAGGAGCGAACACTCAGCGAGCGGCTGGCAGAGAGGCTTCGTGCCCCGTCCTTACCGTGGAGGTGTGCTTCATGGTGAAGAAGCCTGGCATGATCGCAGAACAGGCACATGCGCACTGGATCACTCCAGAGGCTGCCGTGCAGAGAAGCCACGGCCGGTGTTGCTGCAGCTCACATCCTGGGAGGTACAGCAAATTGGCAATGAGTTGATTGCCGAGGCTTGAGTCTCTGAGTAGAGCGACGAACCGGAGCCCACAGCCGCGGCGCAGAGCGTAGCTATGCGTAGCTTGGAGGCTTCGGGCCTTGATCAACGAGGACTGCTGGGAAAGGCGCCAGCGTGCGAAATGCTGAAATGTGAGGGAGTCGTTGCGGGACTCAGGGGAAGTTGCGGACTAGTATTCCTACTACAGCTAGTGTTATTAGTAGCTAGTGTATCGTATTGTTTTCCTGATTATTCATTATAACCACCATAATAACCATTAGAGTAGTATTAGTAGTCCGTGTTCTTGTTTCCTGGGCCGTGGCTGCCAGGGGAAGCTCGGGAAGCTCGGGCCGGGCTCGGTCTTCAAGGGCCTGGAGCAGGAGCAGGCGCCGAGTTTCTGCGGCGCATCGCATGTGGCGTGGCAAAGAGCCTCGGAGAGTCCTCAAAAGCCGCAGAGGTACAGGAGGAAGAGCAGGAAGAAGAGCAGGAACAGGAGCAAGAGGAAGAACAGGAGCAGGAAGAGGAGGTGGAGCAGGAAGACGAGGAGGCATCAAAAACGCCTCTTCAGTACACTTGCGCGGCTGCCCTTCAATCCTTGCTTTCAGGAAGAAGCCGCAGATCAGAAGTATTCGAGAGAAGACGAAGGCCGTCCGCTGACAACGAACTCGTAGTTAAGCACGCTGTTTCAAGCACATTGTCCTCCTCAGGCGAATGCGCGTGGAATCCCAAAATCCTGTCCGAAGAGCCAAAGCTTGCTGATGGCAGCTACACGTTCTACAGGTGCTGCCCCGGCCTTAACACCCGCTTCAGCATGGTTTATCTCTTGGAAGTGGAATTTCTGCACCGATAAGCATGCACACAGGAAGTCAAGTATGTCAGAAAATGTCAGACCTCGAGGCAAGCACAAGTTCAGTCTACCAGTGCCTACAGCACCTTGAATTTGACCCCGCCTGCCTACCACCGTCGATCCATTCGGCACTCCTAGAAATTGCAGCTCCAGCTTTTGTCACACTGGATGGCACATGTGCACACTTTGCTGTTCTGCGAGACAAGGTGAGGGACTCTCCGTCTTCAATGGCAAGCTGATGCAGGCGTCACTGTCAGTTGCTTTGCACTCTTATGCAAGCGCGGGCAGACATGTGTCAACAAAACGTCAACTCCCCTTCTTTGTCAAATGATGCGCGACCCAAGACCGTGCCTGTTGCAACATCCATGATCGCGGTGATTCTTGCTTCTGCTGCATTGACATGATAGCTCATGATCGTCTTGCCCTCCTGTGCCGTACTGCAGGCACAGAAAAGCCTTCGATTTCCGCCGTGGTTCGTGGCATCACAGACCATTTGGCATGTTTGGTTTGTGATGTGGTTCACAAGCCGCGCAATCAAAGCAGCGAGAAACCGCTTCGCGAACCTGGCAGGAACTACTTTCGGCAGCAGTGGCGACTTAAGACCGCAGATGCCCAAGCAATCGTGAACCGTGTTAATGCTTGATTGATCCAGAGCTGCATGTAGGTCACAGAAGCCTGCACTGGCTAGGTCCGCCGCCTGAAATGCTGCTTGATGTTAGCAGAGTGGGCCGCGTTCCCAGTGATACTGTGTTACAGCCCTGGTCTCACTTAGACTTACATAAGTTCTGATGAGTTAGGTATTCATGCTTGCTACGTTGGCTGCCATGGGCAGTACAGCACGAACAGCTAGCCTGGCTGTGGTATTGTGGTCAACATGGCACGGAGGGGGCGCTGACAGATGAAGTTGCTGTCGGCACTACATGCAGACGCCCGCGACGGCAGTGTCCTGCCTGGTTGCGGCTTGCATAGCTGTCGGTTTGATGAAGTCGAATCATTGGGTCTACAAGTCCGTTGCTTTGCTGGTAAGTCCAGGACGGCAGACAATTTCAGAAAGGATCGAAAAAACCCATGACACATACATCGACGATACCTGTGGTCTACGACATACTGTAGACTGCAGACTCGAGTAAAACAGGCGCGATCACTGAGGCAAACCTGATTTCCTGCATGCGCACAAGCATGGTTGAAGTGACTATACTAGAGACAAGACCGTGCAATGATGAGCAATGGCTCCAGAAGGGGACCAGAATGTGGAGCAGCCCATGTGTCACGATGGATGGTTTCGCTGCGTGTAGCAAGCAGGTGTGCATTTGCGGCCTGTGATTCATTCGTGCCTCAGGTGCCTGGTGGGCGTACGCGGGAGCTTCTTCAGCAAATCGAGGTCACTTTTGCCATCAGGATGCAAGTTAGCGAAAGCCATGCCTGGCAGAACGTAACTCTTTGTGCTCACACATCTTGTCAGCACCCTGAGACATGCCTTTGCCGACTTCCAGACTTAAACGAGTCGATCTCAAGTGCCGCAGCATGCACATGTACTCCTGTGAACGTGTCTTGCCCTTGCAGTCCAGGGCATCGCATCCGACTCCGATGCGCTCCGTGCAGCTTTGAATGCCCTGGAGCTGGAAGGTGTGGAGGTCCCTCGGCCTGTGTTTCTGATTCGTTACACCCTTCACAACAATGAGATGCTCTGTATACACATGTCTAGCCCTGTGTGGCCACTGCTCACATCCAGGAGCTAACAGAAGCACAGTCGAAATCCTTGATGGAATGTCGGAGACCCGGACTCTCAAAGCTTGGCCGTGGGAGCTCTCTAGAAACATCGAGGCTTGCATCTTCAAGTTGGCCAGAAGCTCCCGGTTTCCAGGCCATGGCCTGGGATGTCTTACTCATTCTTACTCTGCGAGGGGAGTGCCGAGATCGTGGGCACACTTGAGCTCTCATGAAACGTGGCTGCGCGACGTCCAGCGAGGACGGTGGCTGACCTCGCCCGCTTAATGCAGTCCGAGGCTCCAATGCCTGCACCTCAAAGGCATGACGCAGGAGACCGCCGTGCAAACTGAAGTTGTGAGCCAGAGGTGCCCCATCCAGCCTGGACGTTACTTCTGCTTAGTCTCCCTCCTGGAAGCGGAGCAGCTCGATGGCACTTGGGATCTTCTTCTTTCCGTCTCATTGAGCCACAAGTCCGAAGCAGGCACTTGCGAGCTGCAGGGACCTGAGCCTGACGAGCTTCAGCAGACTCCGATACTCCTACCACACCTTCAGGTCCTTCACAGCCGCCCTCCTTTCCCTATGGGCATTGCGCTGTTTGGGCCTTGGTGGGACTCGCCCAGCACGGTGAAGCTCGTTCATTGCACCGGATATTCGATACGTTGATGCCAAGGCGTGCCCCTGTGGCTTTGGAGGGGCAGCCGCTGGACACAAGCAATGATTTCTCCTTGGGCCCCTCCTTTCAGGCTTTTGCTGCCCGCGGCCCAGCAAAGTCAGGCCCACGTTTTTGTGTGAAGGTTACAAGTTACAACTGACAACGTGCGTCCTCAGGCAAGCCAGCTGAGCCGCTTCGTAGATTCAGAGGCCTTGCAGCTGTAAAGGAGTCAGTCGTGGCATCGCCTAAATAAGTCTGGTCGCGCGCAGGTCTCGTTTAGCGCTCGGGAGCTGTGTGCAGTGGACCTGTGCCTAACGGGAAGCAAGCACGCTGAGTCAAGAGCTCAGAGCCCGTCGGGCCATGCTAGGCTTTCGGCTTGCGGTCGTGGTGGGTTCCCTTGGCAGCTGAGGCGCCTGGAGTGGTGGGAGCAAGTGCGGCATTGCAGACGTCGGGCACAAGCCCGACCTGCAGGGGCCCCAGGGCCCCAGTCCTCAGAAGGCCCTGAGGCATAGCCCGCCCCCCGGGCCCCCCCCCCTTAACAAGACCACGGCTGCGCGTAGCTGACGACACCGAAGACGAGAAATTCGGGTTCGCCGGTTTGTGGCGACCGGGCCGCTTTCAGATAGCGCTTCTGTATGCTTGGACCGGCCACATCGCCGACGTCTGTTTTTCAGATGTGACCTGGAAGCTGATTCATCAATCGAGGTGCCATCGTTGTCTGTCGCTGCTTTGCTGCTTCCGCCCAGTATTCGGCACAAGGCACGGCTCCGAAACTTGTTCATACTCAAGGCACTGCGACTGCAGCGTAGCGCAATCAAATACTTTCTGCAGGCACGGCTGGAGAGCTCCATCGCCAAGGCCATCCGGCATGTATCGAGTGCAGAGTTCTGCGTTTGCAGAGGTCCAGTTGACTGGAGCTGCAATTTTGTGCGTGAGCGTGCGCACGTGCCTCCCTCGCAGGTAAGAACTGTCTTGAGACGGCGTGGGGCAAATGCAAGGCAGCTGTTTGCCCTGCAGGCGCTCTGCTGCAAGGAGACAGCACACGGGGCAGGTCAGGCATGCCTCCAGCGACATGTTCACGTCAGGCCGGAGGAAAGTGTCTGCACCTGAGCGCTCGAGATCTCGCTCAAGCGTCGCAGCCTCGGCCTTCTTCCTTCCTGTCGCAAGTGGGCCCTTCGCCCGCTTCGCTTTGCCCAAGGCTTCAGCAGTTCGGTCTCCTGGATGCGATGGAGGCCGGCAGGCTCGCGCTCACCGCAGCCAGGCCCGGCTTCCAACGAGAGCGCACACGGCAAGAGAGATGATCCTCTATGGCCTGCGAAAGAAGAAGAGACGAATGAAATGGCAGGATGGACGCCGAGGGTGTGACGATGGAGTCCCTGTCCTGGAAATTCGGAGAAGAGCCTTACATCCCATGGTCCGGCTTGCACATCGCAGGAGAGCGAGCGTGAGCCTCTCGAGCTTCTTGCAGCTTATGGGATCCATCGGGGGTGGCGACGCCGGGGGCTTGAATTCCTGATTGCGACTTAAGTCGAATCAATGGAAGAAAACGCGATCGGGGTTAAAAGCACTGAGGACATCGATGAAGCCGAAGGCAAAGAAGCTGTTTTGGAAGTGCGGTGCCCGCACCATCTGTTTGAGCGAGGGGCCAGTGAGGGGCTGTCATGTGGAAATCGACGCCCAGTCGTCGGGGCATTGCTACACTGACTAGGGTTACATCAGCCGATGGTCGACTCAGGCCGCTCCTTCGCCATCTGCTGCCCTGGCCGAGTGCCAATTGAATTTAGAGGTCGGGCCGAATCCTAAAAACTGCAATGGATAATACTATGATAATATAATGCTATACTGCTATACTATACTACTATACTAATCCTAATCTCAGAGGCATCATTGCAAGGCAATGCAAGGCAGTTGCGCGAGTTCCATGGGAGGCTGGGCGCTGGTCAGTCAAAGTACTCGCGCATGACCGCCTGGTCGAAGTCTGGACGTCCCGGAAAGTACCGGGCACTGAGGCACGGTAAGCCTTAAGCCTCAGGAACTCGAGCAGTTGAGGTTTCAGCATGCTAGACTCGCTTGTTTTTAGGGAGTGATGATGTGAGGCGAAGTTGCAGTCTCCTGCTTCCGGCTTGTCATGTGTTCAGGGTCGGGTGACAGGCGAGACCCTTCAGCATCTGGCGGCCGGACCTAAAGGCCAGAAAAAGCCGGGCAGAGCAAAGCAACGACGACTTTCAATTCGAACCTTGACCAGTCTGGTGCAGCTGCCGGTGGCAACTCCATTCAGCAAGGGCTCAGGCTCCAACCTCCAGCCGTGTCTAAACTGACTTGTATTGTGGCTACTGCTCGCCAGGAACCTCGTGGGAGCAGGGAATGGACGTCCGGCACTGACCTGCACTGCGCACCTGAACACGCGCGACACTTTGGCACCCACACCCAGGCCTCTTCTTCCTGGGAGACATCGGACGGCGCGGTCTGGACGCGCCGACGGCATGTGCAAGCCTCGGCCCAGTCTGACACACCTTGCCAACTGCATTTTGCACTTACTCGTATGGAGTTTCTGCTAGTGAGGCTGGGTCGGGTGGACCGCTTGTGACGCTTGTGCGCTTGTGCAGCCTGTCAGGTTTGGTCGTGAGGATCAAACCCTCAAAAAGCCCTCCCAAAGGAGGAGGACTTGGATTAGGACCGCGCGCACGGCCGCGTGTCTTATGGGTTGTCGTTCCCGTGACATTGCTCGCTTTAGGACTGGATGCTTGGATGTCGCGGTTCTTGCCGTGACGCGACCTGCAATCTAGACCTGGAGCATGTCGAGAGGCAAGGAGCTGAATGCACCTCGCAGGCGACCCGTCGCATTCCGATTGATTTGGTACGACCGACGCGGTGCCACATCTGCGAAAGTCCCAGTCAAAGAGGGTTTGGAGCTTCCGCCGCAAGTGCACACGCGTTGTGCCAGGAAGCCTCCGCCCAAAGTCAGGGTTCATCCGGTGCGCAAAACCCAGGCACCCGGTGAGTCTTGCAGATTACTGCAGCCTTTCCAGATGCACTCCATGTACACCTGTATAGCTGTAGCCCACGATGTTGCATTCTCCGGCAAGGGTTGCAGCCCGCAGGCGGTGAAGGCTTGTACGTGTGGCGGCCAGTTCCTCCCAGCGACCTCTACATAGCTCTGGGCTCTGGCCTAAGGGGCTGAGGGGCCTTGGCATCCTTTTTGGCACGACGACATGCGATACTCCGCCTATCTGAGTGGCTGCTTGGAGGTGCTGTTTGCACCACGGACTCTTCTGAGCCTCGGGGGGTTGACGTTCGCTGTGCTTGCCACTTAGCACGGCCGAGCATCGCAGCACAGAAGAGGCTCGTAAAAGCTTGGTAGCAAAAACTCTTTCAGGTGCCGCGAGCGTGGCTGGTTCGTGGGGATTCCCTGGGGCCAACTCTTTGGAGCTTGGGCGACCGGCCGCGATCTGAGAGGCCTTTTCAATCCGAAGGTCATTCTCTAAATTTTGCTCTTCAGGCAAGAAGTCCGGGTACAAGAAGCACTAGGCACGGCGGCGCGGCTCCGTCGCCAGGCATTCGTCTTGCAAACATGCCCGACAGGTGGAGTCATCGCTTGCCCAACGGAGAACCTCCGATATCTTCCCAGCTGGGGGTTCATATCCGAGAAGTTCTTCGTTGGATCGTGATTCAAAAAGCCGGCAGTCTGCACATGCCTTCAGTATATGCTGTCCAGTATGCGGTCCCCATTGAGGGATTCATGCGATTGGATGTTTCGACGTTGCACGGCTTTGCCATCAAGCGCTCGAACATCCTGCAATGGCTCCTGCATCCAAAAAGGCGTCAGCCAGAGGCCGGAAAGAATGAGAGAAGGGGGATAGAGAGAGAGAGAGAGAGAGGAACCAGAGATTCCGGCTACCTCGCCGAAGATGGCTATAAAAGGGTAAGGGTGACTGGAAGCAGCATGCTGTCGACTCGACTTTGCACGCCCAGCCGTTTGGCACATAGATTCGGCGGGGGCGGTGTACACAGGGATGGGTAGGCATAGCTTGAGAGTTCAATATGAGCCTATTTAGACCATTTTGAACCACTGTGTCATCGTGGCGTGAAGTCCCAAACCGTTTGTTGTAGACTTGGGAAGGATAGCAGACGTCGCAAGCAGGAGATGCTCAAGACTATAAGGCACTTCGACAGCTACACATACTCTTTAAGGAGGCTCGTGGTGGTCACAATTCATGGGCACAGTTTCCGTTCCGGCAAGTCCTTCGAAAGGTGTACCCGGGCAAGCTCGGCTCTGTCTCGGGATTCATGTGCTCTGACTTGGAAATCCGAGTGTGTGGTTTGACGGGGATGCTCTGCATCCTGACGCCAGAAGAGGCTGGGGGTCTCATGGAGTTGAAGCTCGCGATTGAGGAAGCAACAGGCATCCCACGCTGGGAGCAACAGCTAGTTGCAGGGACGGAGGAATTGACAGAGCGAAACTTCTCTAGCCAGTTCTCCCCGGACCTCACTCTGCTCCGACAGAACCTGTCTGCCAAAGACTGGCGGCAGATCGTTGAGCGGAATCCGGAGGCATTTCAACATGCTCCAACCTCTGTAAAGCAAGATCGAGATGTCGCTCTGAAGGCCATCTCTCAGGCCGGCCATTCTTTGAAGTACGCCAGCTGTTTGCAAGCGGACCGAGGGGCGGTGATGACGGCCGTCCAGGAGGCAGGCTCTGCACTGCAATACGCAGCGGAGCCTCTGAGGTCAGATCCCGACGTCGTCCTGGCTGCGGCACGGAATGATGCCCAGGCACTCGCCTACGCATCGAGCCAGCTTCTTGACGATCACCGCTTCCTGCTGTCACTTCTGCGGCGGAACAGCGCTGTGTACAGCGTACTTCCAGCGCAACTTCGCGAAAGCTTTGACTTTGCGCTGGCCGCCGCAGAGCAGAACGGCGACGTGCTCGTTCACATGAAGCAAGAATTCCGAGAGGATCCGGCGCTGGTGGCTGCAGCTGTAAAACAGAATGGTCTTGCCATAAGGCATGCAGCACCCTGGCTCCGGGCGGACCGTGACTGTGTACGATTAGCAGTCTCTGAAAACGAAGGGGCTCTGCAGTATGCGGCAGGCTCCCTTCAAGCAGACAGGGCTCTTGTTTTAAGTGCGATTCCAGAGACTGGGCTGGGGCTGGCACTGCAGCATGCATCTGAAGAGCTCTTGCGGGATCGCGACTTCCTTCTGGATGCCATCCACAAGAATGCGGATGCTCTTCTCCATTCGCCAGCAGAGGGCTTGCATAACTGCCGTAGCTTCATGATGGAGGCTGTGCGACGGAACGGAGGGGCCCTCAAGAACGCGACGTCCGACCTACAGGCAGACCCGGAGGTGGTCAAAAGTGCCATCCGCCACCAGAGTGCGGCGTTCCTAAGTGCAGCAGTCAGCCTGCAGACAGAGCCTAGCTTTGTTAAGGAAGCACTCGATGTCAATGGGCTGATCATAGAGCACCTCGGCGAGAAATTTTCTCACGATCATGCCATGGCAATGCGTGCCATTCGACAGAACTGGAAGTCGTTCCGATTCTTGCCTCTTCCCTTGCGCAAAGATCGGGACATTGTCCTGGTGGCAGTCCGGCAAAATGGCATGTCCGTGCGGTATGCCGCCGCCGGTGCACTTGCAGATCCTGAAATCGCCATGGAAGCGGTTCGACAAGACTGGCGATCTCTGCAATTTCTTCCTCTCCCTTTGCGTGGGAATCCAGACATCGTGCAGGCAGCAGTGGATCAAGACCGACGTGCTTTGAACTACTTGCCTCTTGATCTTCAATCGCTTGTCGGCAGTGACATCCAGACTGAGCTTGGCGACAGCTCGGATAATGAGACCCTCCTTGCTTTCCTTCCTGTAGAGCCAGCTGCTGCAAGTGATAACTAGTGCACTTTTGGTGAGCCATGCACAAACCAGGTGAGAGACCGAGCACCTGCTCGTTCGAAGGCATGTCATGCAGGGCCCTCAGAGGTCTCGGACGTCTCGGACTTGCTGCAGACTACCTTTTCTCGAGGGCAGCTGCCGTCAGAGCGCTCGGCAGTGGCAAGGCCGAGCCGCTGCACTTTCCTTTGATGAGATGGACACATGCCAAGACACGCAGATCCAACGCCGGAAGCAGAGCGCTTCGACGGCGTTCGTCGATCCACGATGCAGGCTGACCGGACGTGGATCTGGATCTCAGGAATTGATCGGTTTCGCCAGGGAACTGGGCGGCGATATCCCAGTGCATCGCCCACAGGCTAACAGAGAGCAGTTGCAGTCCCATTGCGTGTCCGGTGTTGTGCCAACCTGGGCGGCAAGGCGAACGAGAGCGGTTGTGGAGACCCGGCCGACGCAGAGATGAAGTGCAGGCAGCTTCCAATCCGAGCCGTGGAGGGGTTCGGACTTCAAAGAGTGACAGGTAGTACCAAGGATCGTATTCACCAAGCAGGCTGGCCCCAGAGTCCGAGACTTTGTCTGCTAGATGATCCACGTAGGTCGTCAGCCTCTTGCAGACGAAACAGCTCGGCCGGGCCTTGAAACAGGAAAGCGCCTGCAATCGCTTTGTCATCTCTTGCTGCCATGTGTTGCGCCACTGTTCCGCAGGAGGAGACACAGACAGTGTTGACAGAGATACAAGGCTGGTAGGGATGTTGCAGAGTCCCGGTGTTGTTGCTTTCTGCCAAGGACGTCCAATACTTGTGGGAACAGACGACTATGCGAATATCTTCAAAGCCTTCTTGAAGTTGCACCTGTGGGCACAGGCGATGAGAAAATGTCGGGGAAGCATGGTATAACTGTTTTGTATTGTATCGGCGAGTGGACTACCAGCGTCGGATTTCCATCCTGCAGTTTTTGCAGTTGAAAGCCGAAGCAGGATCCTTTACGCGTGCAGGAAATACCATCGTGCTGTTGCCTTTCAGGTGGTGCATCTCTGGCAAAGCATGAAGCCGCCTGTCTGCAGTAGAAAAGTCATGCGAACTTGCTACGCCTGCGCAAGATGCTCCGGACAGATGCTGCTCCTGGTGCTGAGGCAAGAAGGAATAGCCTCCAACAGCAGAGCGTCTGGAAATGTTGCCGAGTCCGGGGCGCAGAACGGCTTCATAACGACCCTTCAGTGGAGGGTGAGGGCAAGTGTTGATCTGAACAGGTCGTTTATCAGAGGAGATACATGGGCTGCGTCTTTGGCCGGACCTACAGAACTGCAAGACCACAAGAAACTGCCGGGGGGCCCGCTTCATAGCCAAAGGTGATCCTGAACACAATGCATGCAGAGCGATTGGGCCTACGAAATGCCAGAATCCTGGACATCCGAGCTTCTGGAAGGACCTTACCGAAGCTTGATACCGCATGCATGCCTCTCACAAGGCCGCGCAGGGTGCTGCTCTGGCAGTCTACAGACAGCGCCGCTTAGCTCAATGCGTTGGGTGATCATCTCGCTCCTGGAAGACGGTGCAGGTCGCTTGTGGCAAGAAGCCTTGCAGCAGTTTCTGCAGGAGTACAGATCTGGGCATGGTGAAAAGATGCCGATGTGAGCGCATGGTCATTCTTGCTGTAGTTTCCGTACGACATGTTCCTTGTCACGCTTTGAGGAGGGAATCTTCACGCTGCTGACAATGAAGCGAATGTTCTCCATCCTTGCCGATGCCAAGCAAGTTGGCTTGTTGCTCGCGCCTCAGGGTTTTAGCTCTTTCCTTGCCATGGTCCACGGACCTCTTGAGCGCTGCGTGCCACAGGAAGAAACTACTGGCCCTCTTTCGTCAGAACGAGAGGACCCAGTCGTGCTTCGAGCGAGGTGAGAGGAGAGGTGTCTTGTCTGTGGCAGGACTTCGCGTAATGCCCCTCGAGTTGCAGCGAATGCATTTGCGGAAGCTGGTCTTTGGCAGGACGTCGTGACACGTGCACGGGAGCCAGCAAGAGAGGTACACCCAGAGCAATGATCCAGCTTCGTCGCAGACTGTCTCTTCACGAGATATCGCGATTTGTACTCGGCCCGGGCAGGGCTCGTTCTGCAAAATGATAGCAGCGAAGCATGGCCTCAATTACACGAAGCGCCTATGAGCACTTCTTCAAACCAGCTATGCACACGAAAGCAGTGAGGCTGACGGCAGGGGTCAGGTGGCTACTGAAGGGAGCAGACTGGTTGTGACAGTATGAAAGGGGCTAGTCCGCCCCCATTCCCGCACAGTGTATTTATTTCCTTCTTGATTTTTGTCCCTTCAAATGTGTTGTTCGAGAGCATGTTATGGTGTGAGGCCTCCCCCAGCCGCCCGCAGCCCCGCCCCATGGGAGCCCAGCGCCTATTTGATCCCCCCACCTGAGACACTTTGGTCTACTTTGATGAGACGATGCGGCATGTGTAACGTTGCACTGTGAGGAGAGGGAGTTTTTGGCTTTTTCAAGAGTTCGACAACTGGGTTCAGAGACGAGACGAAGGACCGTGCAGCTGTGCGCCTCTACAAAGCACTTCAAGCCCGAAACTTTCGATCGAATCAGGTTAGCGTGGACTGGGGATGCCGCTTTGGAGGGCAAGGGTTCGAAATAACTGGAGAGCTAAACCGCGGCAGGCGGGGCGTTGCCAGAGGAGAAATCAAGAGGCAATGATGCTCATGATGCCCTGTGCCATCCTGTGCCCCATCACCCTCCCACAGACCATCTACTTAAAACCCGATTCCGCGCAAGTTGTGCAATCCCTCTCTGGAATGGCATCTATCAGCATGGATTCGGTCTCGTGTCAGCTCAGTCAGCTCGCTTTCTATCAGCGGCTGCTCACGTGAAGCCGCTTGAACACACTACACGCGGAAAAAAGTTTTGCTTCGGCGCTGCTGAGACAGATTGTCACGTATCGGGCTAGCCTAACCCATAAGTGTGCGTGCAATGCTTGCGTGCCTCTTTGTTCAGCGCAGCTCGTGGCACTTTTTGCAGGACGCATCGGCACTCCTGGAGGAGCTTGCTTGGTAGCTTCCATTCATAGGTGTTCGACAGGCTTGGTGTAGCCTGGATGTGATCGTTAGCTGCCGGAATTTCTAGTCAGGAGGATCTTGTAGCAGCTGCAGCTTGGCACAGACCCATTTATGCAGGAGACACGAGCTTGCCCCTGAGAATCCTTGGGTCCTCGGCATGTGCGACAGGGGCACCCTTCCATCCGCAACAAGCTGGAATATGTAGAGTAGAGTGGAATGAATCAAGGGGCCCTTTTTTCTGCATTGTCCAAGGCTCGTCGGTTTACACCTGGTCAGCAGCTGCAGGAGAAGGTGCAGGGTAAGCCCTCGCTGGGAAACTTGGCCAGCTTTGCCATGGGAGGTCATGGGCGCGAAATTCCGGGCAGCGCGCTGGCGAGAGGCTGGGGAGTAGAGCTTCGCCATATGCGATATGCTTTCTGAGGGAACTGTTGGAAGCGAAGGCATGTTTCCTCGTGGCGTCCCAGAGACCAGATGACACTTTCTTCAGCCTCGGACCCAGATGGGGTACACACGACAGCCTACGTGGCCCACCAATATGGCTGCCTCTTCTAGGGTTTCAAAGGGAATTTAGGGAGATTCGCTGGCGAGCTGGGGCATCCTTGAAGCCGCACTGGGGAAGAATGGGGATTAAGATGTCTTCAGTGCAAAGACTTTCTACATGCCTTTGGGGTGTGGTTGCACGCTACCCTGAGTTGCATCCCGAAAACTCATCCGCTTAAGACATAGCCAGCGGCTGCCAGGTGTTGCTCTGCTCTCCAATGCTGTTGGCGCTTGTAGCCACATCCTCGGTGAGCCGAGTAGCTGAGAAGCTCTGCAGTAGCGATGACAAGCTGTCGAGAATACTTGCTACCAGCTCATACCAGCTACATACACAAGCATGTTTTTCGCTTTCACCATAAGCCAGATTACGGGCAACCTTAACATGGCAATTGTCGTGTGTGTGTGTGTGTGTGTGGCGTCGCCGTCACTGTCGTCACCATCATCATTGTTATTCTTATGTTAATCGCAATCCTGTTCACAAGCATCTTCATCACGATCAGAAGAAGCAGCAGCACATCTCATCCGAGGCCATCATCTTCCTCACTCATTCCCACCGTCGTCACCTTCTTTAAAATCATCATCGCCACCACCACATGGAGGCAGCACTCATATAGCACGGTCATCTGAGCCGCTGGCAGCATACCAAAGCGTGGCGATCGTCACGGCACTAAGGCTCGATCAAAACAAAGTCGTACTTTCCCCGCATGATCAGCATGATAGTCGACATCATTGTTGCCACTATCAGCAATGGTTGCACTCGGTTCAGAAAAAGAGACCTGGAATGTCAATGAAAGATGGTGCCAGAGGAACGTACTGAAAGCTGACAATGATGATTGTTGTGATGACTCGCCTCGACGATGAGTGAGGATGTTGTTGGTGATGATAATTACATGGTGACATGATGACGATGACGATGGCGACGATTCTCGTGCTCATCGTAGGAGTGGAACGGCAAAATGTTGCAAGAGTGATGCCAGTCGTCGTGGTGGGAGTAGTACCAGTGGCTGCGTAAGTGGTAGACGGAGTGGCCTTATGGTCAAAGTAGCACGACGAACAGGAGCAGCAGGCAGGACGAGTAGTAGTCAGTAGTCACCACGATGATGATGGTGGTGATGACGGTCATCCTCATCATTGCCAGTTTTCGGCGCCGTCACCATACCTACACGGTTTGTACCAGTGCTTCATGGTGGCTAATGCTGATACCTGTGTGCTTGGCTTGCCGTCACCATGCATGTTTGTAGTATACGGACCGCATCGTCACAAAAATGAGAGTATCGCATAGTGAGAACAGTAGTCAGTAGTCGATGTCGATCAACTTCACTGCCAAATCGAAGGCCGAGCAGCGAGATTGCAGGAGGCATTCTACCTCCTACAGCTGATGCGACGGTGGAGCACCCAGCGCGAAGGCTTCCAATGATTCCTCGGTGATTCCACCTGACAGATAGTGCTGCTAGTTCAGCTTCTTTTGCAGAGCGATGCATGTCGCACCATGCCATTTAGGAGGGGATATTGGCCGACGGTGCGGACATTCAATCTCGTGCTGCTCGCTTGTGCCAGGTGCATCACGAGTTCTTGTCTTCTGCATCTGGTTGGCAGAGTGTTCAGCAGCGAAGTGAAATGCAGGGCGGGCAGCTTGCAGCAAGCGTTAGAGGTCTTGGCAGAGATGAGGCACGGCTGCTTCCATCTGAGTCTATGGTTGGCAGAAGTATGCAAGATGTGAGGTTTGCCATGCGCGATCCAGACCTCATCTCATACAGCACCTGCATATCCGCTACAGAGAAGGAGCTGGAGCTCGGGGTTTTAGAATCGCAGGCCTCTCGCTTGGCCAGCTGTCCTTGGTGGCAGGCACGGGACTGGGCCACCTCGCTCCTTCTTCTTCGGAAGATCCAGACAGCGGGGTCCGGCACTTTGAGTTACATGAGCATCGCGTGGTCGTCACGATTCCTACAGTGTAAAGGTTGAGAGAAGATGCCATCGCAGTCAGCACAGCGATGAAGATCTGCGAGAAGGCCTCTGAGCCCGTGCATCGACTGGAGCTGGGACTGGGAGGACTGCTCGGAAGATTCAAAGATGCCTCGTTCCTCGGGTTTTTCCTCAAGCCCACAATAGGTGCACAAAGCATTGCACCCAACTAGAGGCTACAGGTATCATGGAATCACCTTCGGCAGATTTCTACGCTACACAGCACTGTGGTCCGAAGCTTCAGCCGCAAGAAAACTCACTTGCCGATCAAGTGAATCGAAGCTGGATGCCGTGTGCCCTGTGTGCCCCCAGGGCACCTGCTGGAAGTGCCTGCGTGGCACAGCCATGGAAGTCAAGAGAGCTTCAGACAAGATCCGGGCGGTCCTGGTCCAAGGGGATCGCAGTGCGATCCGCTCGTGGGCCGAGGAGGCGACCGAGGAATCCAGGGACAAGGAAGGAAAACGACTCCCGACTCGCAGGCCTCCTCGGTGAGTGCAGATTGCCGGCTTCCCTAGGCCATCCTCTGCTTCGTAGAGACTCTGCTTCGGCTTGGGCAGGAGAGTCTGACATTGACAAGTTTTTGGCATTGGGTCCAAATCCTGTTCTCGAGGACAGCGAGCTCAAGTCAAACTTAGGAGATGCACGAGAAGCGCAAGCATGCTCGGTAGAAGTAAAGTTGGAGTTGAAGGAGATGATGCCGATTCTTCGGCAACACCAAGGTCCTGGAAAGATTTCATGGTAGCCTTGCTTAGTGAAAGGTCCGCTTCTTTTCTGAGAGTCTTTTTGTCTTGATTTGGAGGATCTTGGGAGAGGAACCCGCAATACGCGACCAACTTGCGGCGTGCCTGCATCGAAGAGTCGCAAGTTGACGTCCAAAAGCAGGCTGCTGCCAGAGCTAGACTGTCGATACCCCTTGCAAGCACAGACACTGGGCCAATCCACACCCAAGGCTTCAGACACTGGTGGATGAGAATCGTGGTCCTGTCGCCATGCTGGTCTTGAATTTCATGCGGGCCAACGGCTTGAAAATCAACAAGAGCCACTGCAACGTCCTGATGAATGTCATGCAGGAGAGAAAGGATAAGGGGTCTGGTTTTCGTTTCGGTGAAGTTCGCTACCATGCGAGGATCCCACCTGCAAAGCAGCCGTGCGATGGTTGGCTTGGATGAGGTCAGCATCCGTTCCGCCGGATACTCGCACATATAATATTGCACTGAAGCTGAGCCGAGAGGTGCGCCAGTGGCAGATGGCACTTCATTTTCTTCAAGAAATGCGTGACGTGCGCGTGGCGCCAAACGACAGAAGCTTGAATACAGCCATCGACGCCTGCATAAGAGCTGGCCAGCTGCAAGCTGGTCTTCAGCTTGTGGCATCCCTCCCCGAAAAGCGAGGGTTGGATCTGGACGATGTGACCCTTGGAACTCTTTTGAAAGCTTTTCAAGATGCTGGACAGTGGGAACAAGCGCTGCTCATCTTCAGCAGTATACCGCGCATGTGGCTACAGCAGACAGCTGTTCATTTTGCTGGGGTTATGAACTCTTGTGCAGTGTCTGGGCAGTGGGAGTGGACACTAGCGCTCCTGGACCGCATGCAGCATAAGCTTGTGTCTCCGGACGAAGTGTGTTACAATACAATCATCAGTGCATGCGAGGAAGGCGAACAGTGGGAGCTTGCTCTTGAAACCTTCAATAGTATGTTTTCCCGGCAAGTCATACCAAACCAGCGCAGCTTTACATCCGCAATAAGTGCATGTGGTACATGTCAGCAGTGGGAAGCGGCACTTGCTCTCTTCCATTTGATGCCTAACCCCAACCGTATCCATTGGAATGCGGTCATAAGCTCCTCGGCACAGTCAGCTTGGCCGGCTGCTTTTGCGCTCTTTCATCGCATGATCCGACGGAGTATCCCACCTGACCTGGATACGATGGGCAGTGCTATGCAGATCTACAAATCTGCCGGGCACTGGCAGGCTGCGTTGCATCTGTTTGCATCCATGCCGGCTGTCAGCGCCGACACGCAGAGCGGCTCAACTGGATACAACTATGCACTGGATGCTCTGCATGAAGCGGACTGTGCTGCTCACCTTTGGAACCAGGCAGTGAAGGAGGCGGTGTTCCCAGTTCTGAAATTAGGCCTGGGTGTTGGCCAAAGAAGGCTAGAGCATGTGAAGCCTCTACGAAGTCTTCGCTCCTAGCACGATGTCTTGCATCATCCACATGCGTGCATGCCTGCGTACATACCGATCGACCGACCTGCCTACCTACATGCATGTATGTACACGTAACTGAGCCACTGAGCAAGCAGGTACGTATGTGTGTATATACGTACATGCAGGCGTTCTTCTGGTTGACTCTTAGGACTTTTACTTTTTGGGCTTCTGTATGAACGATGCTAAGTATGCTAAAAGTTTAACTTTTCGGAATGCTTCAGCAGTCAGCCAGGTGCATGCATGTGATTTCATGTGATATTGCAGTCCTTCACTGCCGTCTGCACATACGCAAGCAACACCTCTGGCTTCACTTGCAGGTCCGAACAAGCTGGATCTGCACGGCCTTTCCTTCGGTGCAGCAAAACTGGCTGTGAGGTGGTGGATTCATGAGGCTGCTGGATCATTAGTGGATTCGTTGTTCTCTTCTTGAGGTTTGCCTGTCACCAGCATTCGGAGTGCTGATGATGCAGCAGCAAGAGACGCTGCAGTATTGCGTTGATACCACAGCGCAGCCTTAGCATCCATACTGCTACTAGTCAGTATGTCTTGTTGCTAGCAAGATTCACTATACCCAGTTGTAAGCTAGACCTGGATGTCTGAACTCCTTCACCGTATCCTGTTCCTACTACAGACAAGGTCGTGCCTGAGCTGCTTGACGCTGCGAGTCCACCACCTTACTTCCTTATCATCGTTGGCCGCCTCAAGGCCGGCCGTCGAAAACAATGACTACTGTTGCTTCTGTACTGAAAAAGCAAAGGTGTGGTGATAAGCTTTACAGTGAATGTTCCCAGAACTTTCAGTCAACCGCTCCAGAGAAGGAAGCCTTCGAAAATTCGCATATCGATTTCCAGGATCGCAAAAGACGTTTGTGTGCGATGTTCTGTGCACCCTAAACCCTAAACCCTAAACGCAGTGCATCCGACGTGCTTTTCGCCAGGGCCGCAGGGGCGAGCCCGTCCTTCGTGGGATGGTGATCGAGTATTTGGTGCGTGCCTCAGACGGTTCAGAGGAATCCCTTCTTCCCGATCTCAGCCTTCACCATGACTTCAACATCCCCATATAGTCCTTATAGAATATCCTCTTATAGCCCCTATATGGTACCCCTTTCCTGTCCCTGTGCACCATCCGCTTGTGGCCCACCCCTTTTTTCACCATCGTCAGGACAGCCTTGGCCTGGCCTGGAAGCAGGCCAAAGCGAGCAAGCTCGCAGACTGGGACGACTCGCTGGACGGGATCCCAGAAAGAATGCCCCAGCAACCCTAGGCCTTAGCTGACAATGATGCTGTGGCCTTTCGCCCAATACTATTTGTCGGGCTTTGGGCAGGGTGTAAGGTCGAGAAAGTATTGCCAGCATTCGCTCGGAAATGGTCCATGCAAGAAGTGTGAGAGCAGCAGCCACTCGGGCAAAAGTTTTCAAGAGAGTGTATCAGGTAGCCACGGATGGCATATACGGAAGCCGGTACAGAACAGCCCACCTGCGCCTCTTTTGCAGGACGGTCTCGGTGCCATCAATGTCGACAAGAAGGGGCTCACGGCACAACTGCCGCGACTGAGGAGGACAAGAACAGGTGAGTCTCGGTAAGGCTTTTCGCTGCTTTCAGCAGAAATGTCCAGAACTTGTGGCATTTGGCAAGCCCGTCCTTCGGCAGATGTACACCTGATCTTCGTGGCCAACCCGCAACGAGAACAGCATATGGAAGACGCACAAGCCGGATCACGACGCGTTTGCGCCCTCTGTCATGCTTGTCTGCCAGTGGGCATCGCATGAACCTCCACATCACGTGGAGACACTGTACCTTCGGACCAAGACATGCATCTGCGCTTTGCATGGCATTCTGATCCTCCACACCTTGGCAGCTGGGATGCTACGTGCGCTACCACTACTCCAGATTGGAAAGCGGAGAAGACCTGTCGATGCGGCAACTTGCCGCAGCTCAACGAAGTCATACAGCCGAAAATTACGCATGCTCCTTGCGAACAGGGTGCCTGGGCAGAGCTTCCCTCTGTTATGCATCATGTTAGCATATCAGGGCCTGGAGTGGGAGCATCCCTTGCAGCTGCTGACTGAAATGTATGGTTCGAGTCTGCGGCCCGAGCCCTAAAGGCTGCAGCTCAGTTCAAGCAGCCAAGCAGCTCACAGCTTCCGTTTTCCGAGGCCGGACAGCGTGGCAGGCAGCTCTGTGCTGCGGACTTTGCAAGAGGCAGAGGACTAGAGGCCTAGGAAGTTTGGCCGCAAGCCAACACCTCGAAGTGTGCAGGGGATGCGGTGGATGGACAACTGCCACATGCTGCAAGACATGAAACAGCCGCCCGGCTCGTATGCACGCCTTGGGAAGGCTTCAGCGGTTTTCTGGAGCCAGGACTCCCTTATCCTGAACCCCAAGCCCTAAACCCTACTCCCTTAAGGCCTGTAAGTGGCCCGTCTGCCTTCCCCCTTGGGATTTTCGACGAGCACTCCGCGAGTTGGAAAAGAGGCGCTTAAAACAAAAAAACTACTCCCTTGAGGCGAGCATTTCGGGACGACATCAAGGCTCACAACTCGGCAGCATCAGCCCTGGAGAAGGCGCAACAATATTAACAATAAATAGTAATAACAGCCATAATAATAGGAATAAGAAGAAGAAGAAAAATAATAATAAGAATAATAATAAGAATAGTAGTAAGAGCTCTGGACTTTCGAGCAGACGGCAGACTGGATACCCAAAGGTGAGCAAGTGGGAAGGAGCGTTGCATCCTCGGCTTTTTTGAGATTCGATTTAGGGCTTTAGGGGAGTGTGGGGCCGTGGACCGAGGCTTGAAGCTGTCGATTACTCCAGCACTCGAGGGCATGAGACCTAGCACAGACTGCCAAGGCAGCCCTGCAAGCGGGATCGGCATGGATCGGCTCCGAAGCAGAGCATAGCGGCACGGCAGAGTGCACAGAGAGCAGAGAGCAAGGCTGCAAAAGGACTTGGCTTCATTTGGAGTGATGCTGGGCGCCTGTGCGCAGGGTGGAAGTCGGCAGCTTGGTCAAGAGAAGCTACGAATCGCCTGTAGCTCCTTCTCCTTGATCTCAGGTTTTCGCCTCGCGTTGTCTGGACTTCAAGACCTCGTTAGAGGAGGATTCAGGTCCCCTGGGTAAAGGGAGGACGATCCTGTGGCTGTCGCATGTCCGTTCTCGCAGCAGCAGGGCCACGCCACAATTTCTGGGCATGGCCTTGGAGGCGGTGGTTAATGCCGGGCAGAGCCCTTCCGTCAACCCAACCACATTTGGGGGCCAAAGCAAGGCTGGGCGGGACGAGCCATCGATGGCACCTGCGGTCGTGGCTTTGCCGCTGCACTCAGAAAGTGAGTCTGGTACCGCTTGTGGCACTTGGAGATAGTCATAGTCTTGACTCGAAGCGTAGCTTTCGGCAAGCAAGGCTGGGAGAGCTGAAGGAGCGGATGGCGAAATGGCTTCACCCACCATCCCGGAGTTCTGACGAGGCGGGTTCTGTGCTCGGCCTCTGATAGAGCACACCATGGCACACCACCGTCTTGTTGGAGTCTTCAGCAGGCCATGCTTGGCATCCGCGAGTCCTCCGCGGCTGTCGAGGCAGCTGTGACGTAGCTTACATTGGCAGCAAGACTCAGGATGCTTGTTTCAAGATCATCGGGATGTGCCAAATCAAAAGATTCAGCACAGCGATGAAACATCGTCCCTGCTGGTGCAGATGCTGCACCAGCACGATGTCCTGGAAGCGCAAACATACACAGCTGCCCTCTGAGTAGGGCCGCAGGAGCGATCAGAGGGACAGAGTGCGTACAGAGTGCAACCTCAAAGCACTTCTTACGAGGCCTTTCAGAAGCGAGCTTGCCGGCCAAAAGCTTACAGTCCTAGTCTGGCTTTGAAAGCTGCTGTATGATTGCAGAGATGGAGGCCACTCCTTGCTGCGTTGAGTCTCCCAGAAGGGAGCGACAACAGTGAGCTACTGAGATTGGCTAAGTCTGCAGTTTTCCACCTGGTTTTCTGGTTGCTGGTGGCTGTTGAGGCGGCTCGGAACGGCGGGGGCCTCGAAGCGTTACTTCCAACGGTCGGCAAAAACATGGCACTCTGGGATTTCGAGGCTGGCGGCCGTCGGCAGCCTCGGGCTTCCCTTTACCTTGGATGCCTTCGCTGTGATCCAGGCATCCGGTGCATCCACCGGGTAGGGGGGAGAGCCTATCGTGGAGAGTTGTGAGAACTTCTGGATTCTACCCAGGTGTTCCCTGCCGCGATGCACTGGTCTCCTGTCGCACGCACCTGCATAGAGCTCAAGAGTCTGCCTTTTTCCCTATGTCGATGGCCGAAATGCGTGGGTGCTGTTCCTCTGGGGGCGTGAGGTTCCCGACGCACATTTCACATGCTCGAGGCGCCCGACAGGCGCAACGTGTTTCGCCAAGCTGTGAGAGATGCTGAGCATGGACCGCGCAAAAAAGGATAACTTTCATCACTGAGCAGACAGACGATGAGAGAGAGTCGAGATCGCAAGCTATTGTCGTGCATGCGGATCCTATATAGATTGTGTTCAGGCTGGGTGCTTCGTCGGCGACTGTAAATGCATGGACGACCTACCTTTTCCTGTGTGGGGCCAAGAGGCAAATCTGCAAGCAGCGCCCACAAGGGGCCCTTTCTGTACGTGGTGAGATTTGCTGGACGGCAGGCCTGTGGGCCACGGTGTGAAGCAAGGCAGGTTCGGTGCAGCTAGTGGATGCGTTCCCACATCTTGGGCGTTCATGGTGAGGCTACGGTCTCGAACCGTCTTCAAGGCACCCCGTGGAGGAAGGTTACTGAAGACAGTCTAAGGCTTGGCTTGTGCCTGGATTAATGTGACATGACTTTGCATCGGCTTACAAGACCATGGCCAATTTGTGGTGAGTTTCTTAGACAAACGATTTCGTGTCCCATCTTTCTTATCATTAGCGTTTCGAGAGCTCATAAGCCGTATGCTTCGGACCGACACTTCAGCGTCACTCGATCCATTTAGCAAGAACCCCATGGAGTGCTGAATGTTTCACCAGAGCATGCTTCGATCCAGGGCGACGTGACTCTGCAGTTCCAGTTCCTTCGAGAGCGCACAGCGTTTTTGTGTTTCAAATGCAGACTCAGACAGGTCTCTCCGATTCTTCGCAGCACTCCTGGGAGGCGCCTTGGTTGCCTTAGCTGCGCTCAGCTGGTAGTCATGAGATTGGTAAAGATTCCTGGGACCCAGGTTTCAGACAGCTATGACTGGAAACAGGAGACAACTGGCAACTATCACGTGGAGGGCAGGCTGATGGTCGGACCCTACAAGGATATCCGGGAGAAACTGGACTTCGACCACCACGGCTGCTATAACGTGAGGCGCCAGCAGCTCCAAGATGAAATCATCAGCAAGGTTGTTGGAAGCGGCAAGCGAAATCCATACCCGTGGATAGTCTTCACAGCTGGGTCTTTCTTCGCCGGGAAATCATGGGTGGCGTCTTGGATGCTTGAACAGGGCTACCTACCCTTCGATGATGTGGTGCGAACAGATCCGGATCTCATACGCACACAGTTGCCAGAGTGGTCAGGCTATCTCTCCAGAGACGGCCCAGAAGCTGCCGTTATGACGCAAAGGGAAGCAGGGACCTGCGCTCTTATTGCACAGTGGGAAGCCATGCGTCAAGGTCGACACATACTGGTTGATGGCTCCTTGCGGATGCTTGCCTCGATTAGAAACAGTGCCAACAGACAAACAGGGAGTTCTGACGGTTTCACAATGGACACCAAGGAACGCCAGCCGCCAGCAGTCGTTTTTTGCAGAGATTCGTGAAGCTTATCCCGAATACCGAATTGCAATCATTCATGTTTTTGCAAGTTGGGATGCAATGCAGAAGAGGTCGACGGTCGCACGTGAGGGCGGACGTGTCACCAGCCCAAAGGCTCTGCGCACGTCCTTCGATGCCGTGAGAAGCTCTGTTTCTGAACTCGAATCACTTGCTGACTTGACCATGCATATCAACAACGATGGCTTCCCACCACAGCTGCTATACATGACCTTCGCGCAGAAGTGCAGGAAGGTTCGAAGGTGGAACGAAGTTCGCACTGCTTTCCTGCAGATTCCAGGACTCAAGATACCTTCCTTTCGCTCCTTGTTACTGCTTATCATGATCTCTGGACTCGCATGCCTTTTGCTTCCCTGGGACCATCGCCTTGGCAGCTGAGAAGTGGGCGCTATTTTCCTTCGGCTTAGAAAGCCCGAGTTTTATCCACGCGAATCGCTGCTGGCAGCTGGCAATGGATGATGGGATGGCTGCACGGGCAATCTAGACATCATCATTTTGTGTGTTCCCATCATCCTAGTGATTCTGACCAAAGCTTTTTGACACTGACCCGAAATCAAAATCTCTGAGATGATGCGCGAATGCATGTACATGTGATGTGTGCATACGAACTGTGCAGGTCTCGAGGCTTCCTCTGTGGCTCTGAAGAGCTCAATGGCTCTTTCCAGGCCGACTTTCTGTGTCAGCCTGAAGCTGCCATGCGCCGCAGTTCTCGACAGGAAGGGAAGGAATCTTTCCTGCAGCCAATATTCTTCACTCATGATAGAGCAGACCGGTCCTTAGCTTTTCTTTGAACTTGCCGCTCCCCCATTCTTCTTCTGTGGCGCGACATCGTTAAAGTGAATGAGCATGGACCAAGGCACATGCCGAACGGCAAGCCTTGTTGCGCCTTTTGCGGCAGATTCTTCAAGAATCCGGCAAAAAGAGCTCCCGATACAGCTTCAATGTGTTACATTAGTTCGAAAGCTTTTCTCACTACGTATCTGTTATCAGTTATACCAAGAATACATGATATAGGGTAAGTAGGAGAGATATTCGAATGTGAGAAAATATGATACAAAGAGATGATCTGAGCCGTCAAATAGATAATCACATTTAATGAAGATAGAAAAAATGAAGCGAAAATCTTAAGCTTCGAAACTCGACGGAATAAAAGATATAAAAATACAAATAAAAATTCTAGTTTGCAAAAGAATATTCTCTTAGTAATAAGAGTGATAGCTGAAAATTGTTCTATTGTTTTATTTACGAGATTGTTTTCAAATAAGATGGTATTGAGTTGCTCGTATCCGTAATTCTATGCGTGCGGTGCTTTCCTATATTTTGATTTTTTCTCTATAATATTGATATCAATAAGATTAATATATATAGATATATATATATATAATATTATTATTATCACTATCAAAAAAAAGAAGAAAATTCCGAGATTTATTCGATGATTTTAATATTAATGATATATGAGAAAATAGATA